CGAAGGCAGATTTGCTGCCTCCGAAGCGCTCGATCGACCATGCGATCGAGCTGAAGCCTGGAACAACTCCCACGTATGGGAAGTTGTACAACCATTCGCAGAAGGAGACGGACGCTCTCAAGGCGTGGTTGGCGGAGAATCAGGCGAAAGGGTTTATTCGACCCTCGAAATCCTCGTGTTCGAGTCCGGTACTGTTCGTACCGAAGAAAGGGGGTGAATTGAGGCTGTGTATTGATTACCGCCGCCTCAACGAAATTACCGAGAAGGACAGGACCCCCCTGCCACTTATCTCGGAGACCTTAGATCGCCTACGGGGATCGAAGGTATATACGAAGATGGACCTGAGGGGAGCGTACAACCTCCTGAGGGTCAAAGAGGAGGATGTTTGGAAGACCGCGTTCACGACACGCTATGGTCTGTTCGAATGCCTCGCCATGCCATTCGGTTTGACAAACGCGCCGGCGACGTTCCAGCGCTGGATGAATCAGGTCTTCCAGGACATGTTAGACGTGTGTGTGGTCGTCTATTTAGACGACATATTGATTTACTCCGCCGATCAGGAGACACACAACGAGCACGTACGGGAAGTGCTGAAGAGGCTACAGGCGAATGGCCTGTACGCAAAGGCGGAGAAGTGTGAGTTCGACACGACGGCGACGGAGTTCTTGGGGTATGATATTGCCCCTACGGGGGTCAGCATGAACCCGTCGAAGGTGAAGTCGGTGTTGGAATGGGCGGCGCCTCGAAATATTCGAGGCCTGCAGTCGTTCTTGGGGTTCGCGAATTACTATCGCCGGTTCATTCAGAACTACTCCAAGAAGATTCAAGGCATGACGGCCTTGACGAAGAAAGGGGTGAAGTACCACTGGCCGGAGTCAGCGGATGCTGCCTTCAAGGAGTTGAAGAAGGCGTTCACCGAGGCGCCCATCCTCGCTCATTACGACGAGGAGCGCCAGGTGGTACTGGAGACGGACGCATCGTCAGGTGCGATGGGAGCGGTGATGTCGCAGGCAGGGGACGACGGGAAACTGCATCCCGTGGCGTTCATGTCGAAGAGCCTTACGCCGGCTCAACGAAACTACGACGTACACGATCGCGAGCTGCTCGCCATCGTGTACTGCTGCCAGATATGGCGGCATTACCTAGACGGGAAGTTCCCGGTGAGGATCCTTACGGATCACAAGAACCTGGAGTACTTCAAGAAGGACAAGATGTTGTCCCACCGACAAGCGAGATGGTCTCAGTTGCTGAACCAAATCTCGTACACGTTGGAGTACAAGCCGGGGACAGAGAACGGGAAGGCGGACGCGCTCAGCAGGAGAGAGGAGTTGATGGAGGAGACGGAGCCCAAGCAGGCAGAGACCCTGCTGCGCCCCGTTAATGCAGACGCGCTGGTGGTCAGCGCAGCGACGGTACAACCCCCGTTGCGGTTGTGCGGAACGATCCCCGTCATAGGGGATTGGTTCTTGAAAGCGTTGATCCCTGCGGGACAAGAAGATCCGGTCGCGAGAGACCTGATCAAGGGCGTCAAGGAGGGAACCTTGACGAATAGTCGGTACAGTCTGAGCCCGGGAGGCGCGCTCATGTACGACGGGCTGGTGTACGTTCCCGATGCGGGAAGCTTGAAGACGGAGCTCCTGAAGAGGCTCCATGATGGGAAGACCGCCGGACACTACGGGCGGGACAAGACGGAGGACCTGGTGAGTAGAGATTTCTACTGGCCGGGTATGAAGGCGTGGATTAGCCAGTACGTGGCTAGTTGCGACAAGTGCCAGAGGAATCGGAGGCCGAGGGCCAAACCAGTCGGTGAGCTGGCTCCCCTGAAAGCGGAGACGGAGCCCTACCAGTCGATCACGTGGGACCATATCACGGACCTACCTGAGTCGAGGGGTTCGAACGCGATCCTGGTGATCGTCGACCGCTTCAGCAAGCGGGCACATTTCGTGCCTTGTCGGAAGGACAACGACGCCAAGGTGTTGGCACAGATGTTCCTGCAGGAGTGGGTACGATTGCACGGGTTTCCCCGGCAGGTCATCTCGGACAGGGGAACGCTGTTCACGTCGAGATTTTGGAGGGAGTTCTGTGAGTTGTCCGGTGTCGAGCCTAGTTATTCGACCGCCTTCCATCCCCAGACGGATGGTCAGACGGAGCGCAGTAACTCGACGCTCGAACAGTACCTGCGGACGTACGTCAATTACCAGCAGGACGACTGGACCGATTTGTTACCCATGGCGGAGTTCGCCTACAACAATTCGAAGCACTCGGCGATCGGCATGTCGCCGTTCATGGCATCGGAAGGGCGGGAGCACGCCGTCGAACTCCCCATGCCTATCGCCAAGGATTCGGCTGTGGAGTCGATACAGGAGTACAGAGAGCGGATGAACAACATCTGGGAGTCTGTTAATGTCGCGCTGAGACAGGCCAGGGAGGATATGGCGAAGTACGCGAATCGGAAGCGTACGGCGGTACCGGATGAGGGGTACAATGTTGGCGACATGGTGATGTTGTCGTCGGCTCACGTCAATACCGTGAGGCCGAACAAGAAGTTGGAGTGGAAGACCTACGGCCCGTTCAAGATCACGGAGGTTGTAGGAGAAGGTCGCATGGCGCGACGTTTGGAATTGACACCGGGGATGCGTAGAATCCACCCTGTGTTTCATGTCTCGTTGCTCATCCCGTACAAGCCGAACGAGCTTCCTGGGAGAGCAGTGGACCCACCCCCTGAGCCAGAGGTGCTGGACACCGGGGATTTGGGGTGGGTGGTATCGGAAATCGTACACTCCAAGGAGTTGCGTTCAACGCGCGCCGGGCGTAGGACCCAGTACTACGTGCGCTTCGAGGGGTACGGGGACGAGCACAACGAGTGGGTTAGCCCCTCGGATTTCCACCACAACGACACGTTGGTGCTGGAATTCCATAAGCGACACCCTGAGTTGCCGGTACCGGGCCGCCAAGAGTACGGCGATGCTTGATGCGTTCGGAGCTCGCATCTAGGAGGGGGATCCTATTATAGGCGTCACGTGACGCGCGACCTACGGTGCGCGTCGCCTCGGGGTCTCGTTCGGAGACCCTCTCGGAGACCCTCTCGGAGACCTTTTAGGATATGTTCTCGTAGACGTCTAACTAGTACCTTGTAGTAGTTAGACATCCGTTATTACATCGCTATGCCTACCGTTACCTTTCCCCAGTCCCGCGACCTTATTACCCCAAGACCCGGCAGGTCGGCTGCCAGGCCTTATACGTCGCCGTAACAGTCACGTTCTCGTACTCCCCGCACTCGTACATCCATCAACGATATCACCGCCGAAGCGTTGTCTTTTTACTCTAGCCTTGGCTTTCCTGACCGTCTCGTTGCCGTGGCATTGGGTACTTCCCGCCGAACCATCACTCAGAGACGGACGGAATTGGGCATGACCAAGCGTATCTTGAAGCACGCTGTCCCACAACATGATCTTGAACAGGTGAGAACAAGCACTGACGTGCCACGACGTGCCACAAGTAGCCTTAACTTGCGCATTGATTCGTCCTTCCCTCATTACTTGCAGCTTATTGCTCAAGTCATCAACACAATTGACCCCGAAAGCACAGGCCAAAGGCTGGTAATGGGCTTCCTTCGCGCTCAAAACGTTACGGTCACTCGACAACAAGTCAGAGACATCATGCAAGCAAGGGATCCCTACCGGCATATGATGCGAAGAGCCCAAGTTCTCCACCAAAGGGAGTACGACGTACCCTTCATCAACTCAGTTTGGCACATGGACGGTCAACATAAGCTTATCAATTGGAAGATAGTCATTCACGGCTGCGTTGATGGCAAAAGCCGGCTCATCGTGTTCATGCACGCCTCGGATAACAACAGGGCCGAGACTGTTACCCCCAGTTTTGTTCATGCTACAGAGCGATGGGGTTGGCCGTCACGAGTTCGAGCCGATCATGGAGGGGAAAATTTGGGGGTGCGAGATCTGATGATCGCTGTGCGAGGTGAGCCTGCAGCACTTCGTGCCATGGTCAATTCCTCCTGACTCTTCTCCGTCCAACATAGGCGATAATCGAGGTTCATATCTGGTTGGCCCTTCCACCCGTAATGTTCGAATCGAACGACAATGGCGTCAAGTAGGCGAATCGGTTACACAAATGTTCGCCCATTTGTTCCTCGAAATGGAGCAGGCCCACGACTTATATCGTGATGAACCTGTCGACCTCTACTGCCTACACTACGTGTTCCTGCCATACATCAATTACATCTTGACCCACTACGTTGATGGCTGGAACCATCATGGCATGTCAAATCGAGGACTTGGCGGTCTGAGTCCCATTCAAATGTGGTATCGCGGTAAGTTAGGTCATCAATCGCGCTACGATGTGGCAAGATCTGATCCAACAAATCCCAACACGACACGTGTAGGCATGATCGAAGCCTACAACAATGGCTTCGATCTCGATTTATTTCCTATCCAGGCCGACAATGCGGATGAGGTCGCTGTACGACACAACATGGTACAAGCTACCCGAATGCAAGCTACGGAACCCTCTGAAGACCAGTCCAGACAGCCAAGAAACAGGGATCCTCACGTCAACGTCTCCCGTTTTCGTGATCACCTCCCTGAATTCATTCTGTCGGACGAGTTTGACCAACAGATTCGGGAGAGATTGCCCAACAGGCATTGGCCCACCATGCACGAAGCTGTCGACCAGTATCTGGCTGTTCGGGCCTATGTACATGACGTCATAAATGCGTTCTGACTCCACGTCGTCATCATGTAGTACTTCTGGAAGATTCTATGATTGTGACGCGTGAGAAAGCCCAAGTCGAGCCAAATTGTTCGTGTTTCAGGTTCTTGGCCGTCGTCGCCATCAAATCATAACAAATCGACACGTCGACACCACTACTATAAACAACAAACTCCCCTCGAGTCTCTTGCCCCATCACCTGTCTTATTCGATCCATCCTTCTCCACAAACTCACCTTCATTACCAAAAATCGCCTTCTCTCTATCATCATGGCACCTACTCCCACCCCTTCTCCCAAACTCACCACCGTTGACAACAAAATCGTCGACCAAGAGATGTCCGACGCCGGCGACGCCCAAGATCTTGAAGAACAGGGTAAGTGCACTCGCTTTTGTCGCGGAATATACTCCAACTCATTGACAACTCACTCTTCGCCGTGGTAGCCATGAACGAAGGCACGAACCAAGGAGGTTTGCCTTTGCCTGACGGCACGTTGTTTGACACCACTCAAGCAACCATCCAAGCTTCCGCCGCCAGCGTTTCGGGTCCCGAGAAAAAGCGAAAGTCGACCGCCGCTCACGAGGTTGTAGGCAACACTTCCGCAACTTCTAACACCAAGAAGCAGAAGAAGCAGTCGTCGTTGGGCTTGGGATTGAGGAGTGTAAGTCATCTTGGGTCTTGTCGTGTTGTGACTTGCGTCTTCGGCCATCCTTTGACTGATTTGACCTCTCGCCGTGGTTGTTTAGGCCGCGTCTCAAACCCAGCAAGGTTCCTCTAGGGCGATGCAGTCCAATACGGTGAGTGGTACTATGGTTGGGTGTTATTATTGACCTCATTGTTGATATCGTGCTGTAGCCTTTTGCTACGCGGACCCATCGCCCCGGTGCCGGTGCTCCCGATGTCAGTGTACCATCATGTTCCTTTCCCGTTGCGTTCTCATCGTACTGACCTTCGGCCCCATTGCTATCACAGTCCCGCAGCTTTGCGGAGCGACACGAAGACGACTTTTCATCCGTCTTGGGCCAACAAGGCACCCCTCAATACCAACCTGTAAGTAATGAAAGACGTGTGGATAACGCTAGTAAGCCTGCTGATTGTGTTTGTTGTTCGGATAGTTCTCTGCGTTGGGGTCTGAGCCGCCGTCGCCAGCCAAGGCTTATGCCAAATCCAAGACCATTGCCTCGGCTATGCAACATCAGCAACAGCAACAGCCTCGGCAACAGCAGCAGCAGCAACGGCCTCGACAACTGCAGCAACGGCCTCGACAGCTGGAGCCAGGCGAGAGGTATGTTGCCCCTCGTCATGTCGCCGTCCCAAACACTATGACAGAGGGGCGCGAATGGGTTCAGCAAGAAGTGAGTCAGGTCGCTTGAGCTTTACATTGGATATACATCGGGAAACTTAGCGCTCATTGTTGTCGTTGATATGCCACTGTTAACCAATCATCAGGGACAGAACTGGATTGCTGTTTCTCGCCAAGATGTAAGCCTCATGTTTGCGTATTGTACTTCATTCGACTGGGACACTTACTTTGTTGCAATTTGTTCCGCCACAACCAGGGAATCCGGCAGTTCAACGAGCTTGTTCCAGCGGATTCGCAAGGGAACCGGGTCTACCCCACGACCACGACCGACGACCAAACGGAGCACGGCGATGTTCAGCCCGGACCTCGCGACGCTCCCAGCGCCACGCCCCGGTCTCGCCAAAGGTCCAGCTCCCCGCGCCACAAGCCCCACCACCATGGGCACAAGTCGAGTTCTCGTCGCAAGTCGAGCTCCCACAGGCACAAGGAGCGCAAGGCCAAAGACCATCGTCGTAAAAGGCCGGCAACCCCCCCTCCGTTGGACTCGAGTTCGGGTTCGAGCAGCTCGTCGTCGACCAACAGCTCTTCTGGATCGGAATCGTCCGTGAACGATAGCGACGTGGAGCAAGAGCAACCCGACTCGGACATGGAGGTCGAAGAGGAGTCCGAGGCCGACGATGACAAGGTAAGGAGACCAGGTCCGGTCCATTTGGGTACGATAGACTCCATTGTTGACATCACGTTGTTCCTTCTCAAGGTCGACAAGAAGGCTACCAAAAAGGCTGCAAAGGCAGCCAAGGTATCGTCCAAGCAGGACGCCAAGGTTAGTCACTTTGTTCCGACTCACACTCTTGGTCGTGGTCTTACTCGTACTAATTCATGCATGAAACGTCCTATTTGATTGTCCACAGGCTTCCAAGAAGGACGCCAAGAGGGTCAGTCAACGATCAACGAATGACATAACCCAAGTTGGCACAAACTGACTTGTTGATCCGTTTTGCAGAGCGAGAAGAAGGCCAAGAGCCGGGAAAAGGTCGCCAAAGCGCGAAGGGCCGCAAAAGCCGCCAAGGAAGCCGCTGAAGAGAGCCCTTTACCTGCGACACCTGAGCCAGAGAGACAGGGGTCGCCCTCGCAGCACCTTTCTCCCAACAAGGTAAGCTATCCCGTTGGAAGTTACTGCACTTGAGCGATCATTGACGAAAGTGGCGTTTCCATAGGGCAACCAGTAGGCTCTGTCGACGGACAAGCAAGCCAAAGCCGAAGTGAGTTATCACGATTACCATCGGGCAGGTTGCCGTCAAGCTTATCATGTCTATCTTGCTTGTCATTGCAGCGCTTGGAAAGATATTACTTTGAACCGGAGCAAGGAATGATCGTCTTGCAGGGCAATGAACGATGCGAGACCTGCCGTATCGGCGCCAAACCCTTCGAGCGGAACACCCCAGGCGTTTGGGCCAACTGCAACACCCGGTACGGTGTCTGCGGGGTGGTCGAAGGCAGATCGCAGTGCACTCGCTGCTATTGGACCGGGAACACCCTTTGCGATTGCGCTAAGGCCCTCGAGAAGTACCACGCGAAGCGAAAGCGAGAGGCGGTGGCCAACAGAGTCAAGGCCATCAAGACGGAGGCTAGCCCTGCCAAAAAGTCGTCGCCTTCGAAAGGTCAGTCCCCATTTGGGCAAACCAACTCGAAGTTCGGCATCGGCATGACGACACGTACCGCCAAAGCCAAATCGACCCCGACTCCTGCCCCCAAGCGCGGCAAAGTCGAGCAGTCGGACGACGACGAGGACGAGGAGGACCCTGTCACCGCTGTCATCGAGAAAATCCGGCAAATTGCCCAAAAAATGGCGAACAACGGGGTCACCTACACCAAAGAGACTCCGGAACTGGCCACCAAGAACAAGATCGAGCCTAAGGTGATGATGAGCTACCTCAAGTTGGGTGACTCCTTCGTCAAGAAGACCACCAAGAACGCCGACCTGATCATCCAGCACTTGGCCGAGCTCGAGGACCTCTTGGAGCAGGAAGCCGAGGAGGACGAAGACGAGTCCTCCAACAATTCTGTCTTCGATTGAGGTTGCGGGTACGGTCGTGGTTAATTGGTCGTGGTCTTTTGTCGATGGTTCTGTTGCTTCTCGTTGGGCCGGCCGACTCCCTTTTTTTGTCTTGTAATACACGATTTATGGGTTCTTTTATGATATACACGAGTATACCCTGTTTGAGGTGAAAGCTACCCTAAATGACTAACGAAACAACAAAGTCGTGATACAAACGTCAGTGGAAGACAAACAGACTGAATGTATCTGGAAACTGACCTTCAACAACACGATCCAGAGATATTGGTTGATCATGTTAAGGTCGAAAACTCTTTTGGAGCACATCGAGTCCTTTTCCCTGTAACTTGAGCAACTTGATCCGCCGACTCTTGCCTAGGTCTTTTGCGCATTCTCCCCATTGTATTGCTTTGTTCGTCCAGGACGTCAGGCTCTTGTTTGTCACGACGTCGCAGCCTTCTACCGATTGGACTGGCAATGGTAGGACCCGGCAGAGGGGGACGTTGTGGCGAGCGTATACCATGATCCTCTGGTAAATCCTCGATTGGTCCAACTTCCGCCTCAGCTTCTTCTCTGCCGACCTGACTAGCAGCAACCGAGTGATCTCGTTGGACATGTTCTTGTTACGAGCAACCACGTCAGCCGATTGTAAAGAGGATCTTGCTCACGAACGCAGGACTATGCTTACCTTGAGATCCATCAAGATAGGCGTTGTGATTGATAGTATCCGCAAACACCTGGTCCAGGGACGACTCGTACGTAGGTTCCGGAAGCTTGTCAATGTTTGTGCTGGTTATTACTCCGCATCGTCCTGGTCAATACCCCTTTGGAATACCTCCCTTGCAAAGTCATCGAGTTCAGCGGATTGCATTGGAGTTGTTTCTGGTTCCAATTGCCGAGATGACACGACGTCAGGAGGGGCGGGAGGGGCGTTGATCAAGGCCAGTTGCAAGGCAAGCCATCGTCTACCAAGCTTTGGGTGAATTGAAGCTGATGTCAAGGCCTCGACAGTGTTGCCGTGCAAATCGTTCCCCGATTTGGGCCTTGCTTGGACTGGAGTTTCGATCCGAGGAGGAAGTGGCGCCTCTGTCGCCTGGATGTCGTCATCTTCGTCACTACTGTCGTCGATCAACACGATAGGCTCGTACAGCCACTCATCGTCTAGGTTGATCTCAGGTGGAGGCGTCGGGAAGGTTGCCCTTCCCTTGCCCTTCAAGTCCGTCTTGCGAGATCTTGGCCGCTGGATTGGAGAGCGTGGTTCAGGCTTGACCTCAATTCTTGGCTTGACGTCCTTGATCGAAGCTGATTTGCTTCCCGATGCTTTGTTTTTAGCCTTGGGAAGCTGCCATACAGGTCGGAATGGGGCGATGGCCATAGCATCGTTGGATGCATTGGCCTGCGATTCGTTGACCCAAGCCATGTAATCCGCACACACCTCTTGGTGACGGGGCATTTGGGCGGGAGGATAGGGGTTGTTGCAGCCTTGGCAGTTACGAAGGCCATCTTCGTCTGCGTCTTCCGCAAAAAGGTCATAGTCGACGTTGTGTAGGGCTGATATCATCATGCGCCAATCGGGATTGTCTTTTTCAGGAATCTCCCAACCTTCGCAGATAACATACATATTCGACGAGGCGTGATAAAACGTTTTGAGGTCCGCGATTGTAGTGACATAGGCGCCACAGGTCTGGACGGGGTGGAAACTGGCAGTTCCATGACCCAATTTGGCCCAAAGGAATGGCTCTTTCAGAGCGTTGGGGCCCAATTTCGCCCTGAATGCAGCGTAAACCGCCTCAGCGATCTCGATGGGGGTCATGTCCGCTCTGAAATGGACTGGCAGTCGGTAATTCGAGTTATCGACGGCTTCATGGAAGAGATTGCCCCCGCCCGTCTTGTTTTTCCAAAGGCGAGGTCGCAGCCGGAGGAGGGATCCACAGGCAATGTACGTGAGCTGGAATGTTGTGATACATTAACAACACGAATGAGGTCATGTCAAGCGAAGGCTTGCCCCAGATATGCTTACCATGCTGCCCGTTTTCCCGAATTTGGGTTCGACCGGGTCAGCTTTCTTGGACTTGGCTCGGGCAGCACCACCCTTGGTCAAAGGTAAGCCAGGGAAGGTTCGGGGGCCATTGAGCATCTGGGATGCATGCGGAAACGTCCCTTGAGTCTGGAGCGCAGTGGAAGGGGGCGCGAATGGCATTTGCCGGTACGACGGGAGGGCGCTGGCGACACCTGATCCCGATTCTGGGGCAACTTGGTATGGTTGCATACCTGGGATCGGCAACCCAGGGGGAAACGCAGGGTATCCCATGCTGTTATGGGCAGGGGGATAGGCGTTACCACCGGGAAAGACTTGCCCTTGAGCTTGGCTTTGAACAACTTGGCCGTGACGTTGACCTTGACCTTGACCTTCACCAATATGGATGGGATTGACGTGATTGTGGCCGACTGGCCTTTGGCCTTGCATTGGCGCTTGAGCATGACTTTGCCCTGAAGCAAGGTGGCCTTGGGGAGGGGCTCCGGCAGCAGTATGGCTGCCGTAAATCCCAGTGATTTGGGGGACACCAGATTGGGTGTGTCCGTCGGCGATACGGGGAGTATTAGTGACCAGGGCGGGTCGAGCGGCTCCCATTTGAGGGGTAGCAGAGGCACCATGGTCTGCTTGAGTCGAGGTTGGGGAGGATCCCGTCAAGTGCTCCATGATATTGGTGAAGCGGGAGGGATCACGGCGGAGACGCTGTTGGAGAGCAGCGTCGAATTCGGCGTCGGAAAGCTGGGGGGCCATTGTGCTGGGAGTAAAGCGATTTGACTTTGTGTTGGGTCTGGGAGTGGTATAGCAAGAGAAATGCGGGAGCGGGAACTAGATACGTGGTATAATACGTGTCGTATGTGACCTGATTGCAAGGAGATGGGAACGTAGTTGGGAGATTGGATACGAATTACACTACAACGTAGAGGATAGGGGTAACTGGTCCCTATTCGGGGGAAATATCGGTGATTTGGGGGAAAAGCCGATGCCGTTAGTGGGCGGAGCCAAATTTGGTCCAAGTTGGCGCTAATTGGGCCAAATTATACCTCTATTTTATAAGTCGCGGTTAAAGAATAAAGATCCACCGATAAAGATCGCGGATAAAGAATTGGCGCAAATGGCGCACCATACGAGTCCGAGGTCAAGTTTAGCGTGGCCTGGCTTGCTCCATCCCGATCTCGGTTGATGATGAAACCCGTTCATCGATTCATCCGTTTCCATTTTTTGCTATTGATCTTCCCATATCACCGTCAAACTCTCCCAGACAGACCAGAATAAACCTACGATAATACCCTCGCAATGGATTCCGTGGCTTCAGCTCCTCAGACGGCAGATCCGGCACCGAACTCACAGCTTCTCGCGGCGTACTGGGACTGGTGTAAAGCGACGAACACTCCCGAGCCTATTCAGTCGAGGACGATCACCAGTAGTGCTGCCAACAATTACGAGTATCACGAGTATATAATCGTACTCGTAATCATTTGCGAATATGAGTACGAATACGAATACCTTGATTTTCTTGATCACGATTATGAGTACGAATACGATTACATGTGCGAGTATAATCGAGTATATAATCATCAAAAAGTGTGATGTAGAGTGTTGCAGGGCGGTGTGGGAGATAGGCAGACACTCATTCAATCAAAAAGAATAACAAAAAGAATCAGCGCTCAACCACCCAGAAGTAGCTGTTAAGCCGGCATCTGTTCACGGTGGTTGCTAGGACCTTAGGTGCGGAAACCTAGAAGCCCGTTGCGGATCCTGTAAAATAGAATTGAAAAGGGCAAAACTCTAGAAAAGCAGGCTGCGCCGTGAGTCGAACTCATGACCTGACCTGACTGACCTAACCGTCAACATTATGCACCATAATCCACTATACTAAAGGGAAAGTCTTGTTGAGGCCTGTTTGCACAAGCTTATACCACTAGGCTTGCCCTACTTCCCCCCGATGCAGGACTTGAGACATGGGTCACATAGGCTTGGTAGGCCTGTGAATTTAAACTCACGACAACATGTAAGTGCTAACATATGGCTTGAAGATCAGACACAACTTACAACCATTGACAAGGGTAGCTCGAGACCTCCTAGCTATACGTGCATCTTCCACCAGTGTCGAGCGATTGTTTTCACAATTGGGTAACACATTGGGGCACAGGCGGAAGGCAATGCAGCCAGAGATGGTCCTCAAGCAGACGTCACTCAAGATCTGGGATGCTCAAGGGTTATGTTTGATGAAGGATATTGAAGCAGTTTGTTGAGCTCCGTTTATGTCATTGTGAAACACGGTTCATCATGCGCGCCGAATCAATGCTTTTTGGAACCCAACCTGGTATGAATATACTCGAGTATATATTCACTAGTGATGGCCACGATCAAAACGATCATGTGATCGTCTTCAAACAAACGTCTGATCGTCTTGCTCAAACCATGAACGTTACCTTCTGCTGACCGTCTTAAAACGGTCAAGACGACCACGTTTGAACGTTTAAGAAGATCAAGGCGGTAAACGGTCAAAACCGTCAGATCATCGGATTGGACGTACCAGCAGTACAATCTAATACAGAGCGCCACATGATCTGTTCGGTCTGATCTATGTCAGTCAATCATATATAATTGTGTTGACGGTCATGTGACATTTCAGCGAATGTGACCAGATTCAGACAACTCAGCCTCATCCTCGTCAGTGTCAACAATGAACTCCCTGCCTTTTCCCTTCTTCGGACCCGGTGTGTTTCTCTTGATTTTCTTCACCCTCTTCATGGTAGTCTTGTTTGCAGAGGTCGACGCGGTTGTAGCCGCAGAGGAGGAGGCCAAGGTATTTGTAAAGGCAGAAGAGGATTCACGTAAACCCTCTTTACCGCTCTTGAATCCAGCTACGAATGACTTCTCCGACAAGATACCATTCTTGGCCCAGTCCCCAACCAGCATCTGAGTAGTACTGGTTGCAGGTGCTAGTCGAGAGCGTCTGGAGGAGATCATCAAACCAGCCTTAGAAAATGCTCGCTCAACAGCAACCGAAGTCCCTGAGATCAGAAATGGCAAAATCAGCTCAGACGATCATGAGGTATGATTCTGTACGTACCAGGGCAGCTCAGGACATCAATAGCCATCTGACGAAGACCGTCTTTACCCGACTGATGTGCCCACCAAGTAAGTGCTTGACCATTGAAGGGATGCTGACTGAGTTCAGTCCTTTCGCCATTGACAAAGGCATGAAAGACATCTTCGTCTTCATCTTCGTTGGCATGTTCCTGACCTTGCTGACTGGACTCGGCAAGGAACATGGCAAGCTCATCCATGACCTGACGGGAACGGAGATGATGTCAGATGACAACTTTATGGGTCCAGACAGATATACTCACAATGTTGCTTGCCGATGATTGTCTCTGCAGATCCCCAGACTGGGATGCATAGTGCTTCTCCCACATTTCATATCCAACACGGGTCGCCTCAAGAATCCACGACTCTTCCCACTTCTGTTTCCGCATCCATTTGACCCGGTAAGCGGGATGAAGGACTGAAAATAAGGGAATAATTTTGAGAATCCCGACAAGTTCGAGTTGTCTTCTTGGGACCAAAGTGCTTACGAATGGCAACTCGATACATTACAGTCTCGTCCGTCTTACTGTAGTATTTATCGAGAAGGTTCTGACCCCTCTGGATACCGTGCTTGACAGCAGGCGAGACTGTGTTCCGTGAACTGAAGCGATCAAAGGCCACAGTGAGGGTGTCCATCACCGGAATGACTCCAGCGATTGATTGGTTCTCGATGTTGGTCTCAACACCCGTAGAGAATCTCTTGGTACAGATGTGAAGAAGCTAAAGAAGACGACAGTTAATTCCCAAATAATGTCACGGCATCTATCATATCCTTTTTCTAGACAGACCTTCAAGATTGGGATCATTTCGTTGATCAATCCAAGGTCGGCAGCGACCAACTTCTCTTCTCCGCTGATCTGTTTGGATGGCAGCAGCGAGTAAAATTCTTTGAGCACGTCTTGGGCATTGCTGATTGCCTGAAGACAATGGAATGTCGAGTTCCACCGAGTCTGGACATCGATAGGAATAGTGTACGTGCTGCCCGGTTTTAGTATCTTTGCAGCGACAAGATTTTCAATAGCCTCATTCCACCTCCGCTTGTATTCTGAACGGTACTTGAGACGTTTCGCTAGCAACCGAGACTGTATGAACAGAGTTTGTTATGAATCAGCAAACCATAGGATCTGTAACACGCCGGGTTGAGACATACCTTGTACAAAGCGCCAGAGAGCGTCGACTGATCGTTCTTGATCTCCTGCCCAGCTGAATTGGCAGCCGGAACCATGGGGAGAGTAAGAGAGTCAAGAATCGACTGGTCTGGGGCAATTTGAGAGGCCGTCGGCCAGATCTCAGCCTCCATCTCCTCTTGATCATCTGAACCATAGCTATGGTCGTCATCCGGGAGAACTTCTATTGCTTCCTCCGATGACCACTTGTGACCAGTGGCCCCTTCAATGATAGCCTAGTCATTCAAACAAAATTGAGCACTGGACTGATTCGACACTCTCACTCTGTTATACTCACTCCCGTCACCAAGTTTAGAATATGAGCAAAACAACGTACTCGTCCTTTTGAAGATGAGTTGAACCGAGCCCAATCATTGTCGGCCAGCTTGTCAATCATCACATCGTTTGCGGAGGCATTGTCACACACAATGGTGAGAACATGCTGATGGATATGCCATGACCGGAGGGACTTGTTCATAACTTCAGCTAAAGCCTCGCCTGTGTGACGTTCGGGTGAGCTGCAAGACGATGAAAATGACTTTAGTCGAAGATGGCTAGAATATTCCCATCGCCATAGTCGACTCACGAGGCAAAATCAATCAACACTGAGCGAGGCTTGACAGTGGTACCTATAACTTCGGTCCAGTTGCAGATGATCCCAATGAATGCATTGCCACTCCGATCAGTCCAGCCATCAGTCGAGATGTGAAAAACCCCAGGATGCTGGGAAAGATGATTGCCGAGTCGTTCACGATTGATATTGTGGACCCTCTGAAGATCATCCTTCACCATCTTACGGGAAGGAAGGACGGCAGCCATTGCTGGAAACGAGCGGGTGAACATCTCTTTGAACTGAGCAGGAACGGTAACCCATCAGTTCTCTTTTGTTAAGACAATGCTGAGAAGATAGACTTACGCCTGGTTGATCCACAACAGTGAAGGGATGCCCATTCTGTGCCATCCACACAATGATTGCATGTCGAGTCTCAGCCAAGAGCGGCTCTGAGTTTACAATGGGTTTCTTTTCGAACAAGCGGCCCTGAATCATGCCGTCTGTTTTATTCTCCGGCCTTGCATTGCACCTGGTTATATGATTGGAGAGGCCGGTGTGTGAACCCGCATTCTTAGCAAGCTTAAGGGAGGTGTAGACTCGGCAGTGTCTGACGGCACAACAGCAATGCAAAGGTAAGATGTCACCAACAGTCCGACTGGCTGAAGCCGAAAGACTACCATCAGAACTTACCGACAACGCCATAACCAGTATTTCACTGGCTTCTCTCCCGTCCCTTTGGCTCTCACAACTTCCTCTTCTGTCGCCAGTCGAGGCCGTTCATACTCAGAGTTGGTCCTGTTGGCTCCGTTGTCGTAGTGGATGACGCACCATGCTTCGAGATGAGCAAAGTGGTCTTCTAGAGGGGCGTCATCCGGAGGGATGGCGAGTTTGAGCTTGGGCTTGCCTATTGGTGAAATGAATGTTACGGCTAGAAAGGAAGCGTAATGTCGCAAGAAAAATACTTACCCGGAGCTCCTCTGCCCGACCTGCCCGACGTCAAAACAGGGGAGGTGAGCTTCGGTCTTTTCGTTGGGGTTGCTTTATCGTAGAGGTGATCGTATGAGAGTGGGGTAGTCATATGATGGGTAAGCCAGCAGAGACTCACCAAGAATTGCAGACCCGTCGAGTACCTGGATGTCATCAGAATCATCCCGTCCGTCCACGTCGATCACGTCTTCGGATTGTTGTCGTTTCCATTTCTGGTGTATCTCCATGTCGCCATTGTCGGAAGAATCACTAAGCATTGCAACAGCTCAATCCAGAGATGTATCGAGAAAGATCCAGAAGATAATGTTGGAAACTGTGGAGCGAAAAGTGTTGTTCCCTCGGAAAAGATATGTAAGACGAATATTTTACCTGATGTGCTGTCGACGTGTCGATAGCACCCCAGCCCCTGACTTCAACATGCATATGCGTTCCCGTGATGCCTCTAAGATGCATATGCATTCTCATGACGCCTCCAATCGGAAGCAACTTGCCTGCTTCAAGCAGGCAAGTTGCTTCCGGTACATCTGCCGACCACGCACAGCAGGCAAAACTACTGTAGCGTGAGTGTGTATCGAACCCAAGACCACAATGATAAGGTGGCAAGCTTGCAAAAAGAAATCATAACCACTAAACCAATGTCAAGTTGTAATAAACGATCATAAATGGTCAAAACATGATCTTCTATATCCAACAGTCTGTGACCGTGATCGTCTGTTTGACCTTCTAAGACGATCAAGACGATCACGTTTGACCTTTTAAGACGGTCAAGACGGTCAAAACAGACGATCAGAAGACGGTCATGACCTTCTGTTCCATGACCGTGGCCATCACTAATATTCACTGAATACGAATACAATACTCGTAATCGTGGGTAGATTACGAGTACGAATACGAATATCAGATGTCATCATCAAACGAATATGAATACGATTACGAATATACTCGTTTGGCAACACTAATCACCAGTAAGTCTTTCGTAGCTCAATAACAGTCTTGATCTTCACTGTAACAAGATTTCAGCTTACATGCTCCTCTGACTTTGTGGTCCGCAGAGCGTATCGAAAGCTATATCGCCTACTGCGTCGAACAGCTCGACGACGAGATGACCTGGCGAGACCTGAAAAGCCTCGCCCGTGGCCTGAAAGCGATGGTCGTCGATCAACTCGGTTGGGACCCAGAATCGGCTACCTTGGCCTTGTTCGATATTAAGATCAAGAACCATTGTTGGAAGCTATCAACCAAGCATGGGATTGATTCTACCTCTGGGAAAGCTTTGCAGATCAACTGTGATATGGAAGAGACTGGCGAGATGCAACATTTGGTAGAGCTGTCTAGCAGTCAGGATAGTTTCGACGGACATGTCAGTCAGATGGAGATGTACAAGTTTATGGGAGTTAGTTCGAAGATCAAGCTAGCGGACCTGATCAAGAAACCAGAAGGTGAGCCCCCATACCATCATCCTTTCGATGCGGGTTTCAACTATCTCTGATCTACCGGGGTCCTATGGCGATTCCAAATCGAACGGCAGGTACCGCACATGCTACCGCCTCTTCAAGCAAGACGAAGACGACGATCAAAGCACCTAAAAAGAAGAGGACCAGTGGGAGTAGCGTCGAATCAGCTGTGGCGAGCGGTAGTACGAGCGAGAATAGGAAGGCGAGCGGCACGAAGAGGAAGAGCGAGTGAGTGTCTTGTTCGCATGTTGAGCATTCTTGACGACAAGAGTCTCACATTCAATCTTCCGGACGTCAGCGCACTTCAAGAAGCAGGATCGTCAATCCCGGCCAATATCGAATCCAAGGGAGATGGTAATGGAGGACAAGGATTGATCGTCAATGCAAGCGGGACTATCGAGCAGACGTGAGTCCTTGCACGAATTTCCTCCTTCCTTGCTTGCTCGTGGTGATATTCACGTTCTTCCGTTGGAGATTCAGGAGCGTCGATCTGGTCACCAAGGAAAGTATGAATATGCGAGTGAACTCAGAGCAGACGCAAGCGACGATGGTGGGGTTCGTATCCGGCTGGACTGACAGTCTTTGAACGACGGGAAAGCTGAAAGTCGTCAAATCTTCCGTGTCGTTCCAGTCAAGGATCGGTATCTAACGGAGACGATTGGAGGAAAACGGAAGCTGAGAAGCACGGGGTCATCGTCGACAGGTGAGTTTCTGACAGCACCGACTTGTCGCAACTTTACGCTCATGTTCATAACTTCGCGTAGTTCGATCTCCACTATCGTCCCGCAGATGCCAGGTGAACAAGACCCACAGAAAGAACTTGATACTCATCCGACAGAGGATAAAGCTAGCAACAAGCGACGCAAGCTGGACAACGCCGTCGATAACGAGGATCAAGAATGATGGCCTTACTAAGGGATATCGCGTTCGGACAGGCATTCTCTCGGCTGATACACTGCATTCGACAATCTGTAGCCATAAGGAGTTTCGAAACCGTATGTCATCGCGATCTTATGTCCTGACCATGGAGCCGTGGCAAACAATGCCGTCCTTGCCTTCGACAACGCTAACCGGTGGCCGGGCAGCTTGATGACTGAGAGGACGTTCCGTGCAAAGCCCTGGAAGGTCAGAAGGCAAGAGGGGGGTCGAAAAAGGCAAAAAGGAAGCGCAGTGCCGGGATCGAACCGACGACGCCAAGATTACTGGTGGATAAGACCATCGAAGTCTTATGGACTACCACTGTCCCAACCGCGCTTCATATTTAGTTTCAATCAACACAAAAAAACTGAGACGTACAACTTTTTCTGCAACCTCCACCTCGTCATTGCTTCGAGTTCAGATCGCCTCATATAATCTCGGTTCAACTTCCCTTGAACGGTCTTTCCCTTCACCTTCCTGCAAATCCTGCGAAATCATTGCCTCAGTTAGCTCATAATCTGCATCGTATCAACATGGTATGTAGCTGGTTCTGCGCTCTCTCTGTGATCATGTTACTGACCGTTCCGCCGCAATGGCGGCCATCCGGTACAGACGTCCCAACCTTATCTTGACATTTCGTAAGTTCACCTCGCTCCAGTCTCGATCGAGATCATGTTACGTCACAAGTGTATACTGACGCTGTTTCTCATCGTTATGACAGGTCGATCCTCGCTGGAGGTTACCACCACCCTCTTTTGCGAACTTATCAGTCTCGAGGCAGGACCTTGAGCAAGGACATGCTCATGTACCCCATCTTTATCACCGACGACCCGGACGCCGAGATCGAGATTAAGTCACTGCCGGGTCAGAAACGATGGGGAATCAACAAGCTCGAGGGGTTCTTGAGACCGTTAGTGGAGAAGGGTTTGAGGAGCGTCATCTTGTTTGGTGTTCCTGTCGAGCTGGAAAAGGTGAGAGTCGCTGGCGGTCTCGAACATGGTTTCATCCGCATCGCTGAACTTGGGATGAGCGTCGATAGGACGAATGTGGGACACACGCCGACTCTGATGTGACCCCCGTCGTACAAGCTCTCAAACTCCTCACCAAGCTATTCCCCAAGCTGCTCCTCGCTGCTGACGTCTGCTTGTGCGAGTACACCAACCACGGTCATTGCGGCGTACCCTCCAGCTACTCCCTCGGCGGTCTCAAGCACGGTCAGACCGTCGCTGATCTCGACAAGGAGAAGGCCGGCGGCCATCCTCTTACTTTCTCCACCGGTGCGACGGATGACTCGTCCAGCAGGCCGCAGAGCCCGTGGGTGTTCGGATCGGACTACAAGCTGTACGAAGAGTCCCCTCCTACCCCTCCCGCTTCGGGCCGTTCGAAGGTCGACCCTACCGCCCAGAGCAAACCCGATGTCTTTACTCCCATTCCCAACCACGCCAACGGGGCACCGCACCTCGACCCTTCGGCCTCGGCGAAACGAATCGGTGAAGTCGCTCTCGCCTATGCCAAGGCTGGAGCCCATCTCGTCGCTCCGAGCGATATGATGGACGGGAGGATCAAGTCAATCAAGACGATGTTGATCGAACATGGGTATGCGAACAGGTGTGGTGTAATGAGCTATTCGGCCAAGTTTGCGAGTGGACTTTATGGGCCGTTCAGGTAAGGCAATGAGCGGATACAGGTGGATCGGGCGGTAGCTGATGAGAATTATATGGTTTTGCAGAGAGGCTGCTGGCAGTGCTCCTATGGCTGGAGACCGAAAATGCTACCAGCTCCCGCCTTTCGCCAAGGGTCTGGCCCGACGAGCCATCGTGCGTACTATAGCCTAGTCACGTCAAGCTAAATAATACTTATTACCTACTGGCCTTTTCACAGAACCGAGACGTCCTCGAAGGCGCCGACATCCTCATGGTCAAACCCGGTCTTCCCTACCTCGACATCATCCAGGACTGCGCGACCTTGCAACCGGACCACCCTACCGCCGTCTACCAAGTCTCTGGCGAATTCGCCATGATCCACGCCGGGGCGGAAAAGGGCGTCTATGATCTGAGGTTGATGGCCGAGGAGACGGTGGGGAGCTTCTTGAGAGCTGGCGCGAGCATCATCTTGACCTACTTTACCCCGGACTTTTTGGACTGGTTGGACCAGGAGCCTTTGCCGAATTAGGCGGAAGGTACACCTGTGCTCAACGAACGAACATCTGGCAAAAGCAAGAAACAACAACAATAACAACAACACAATCGTCAACCAGGAGTTGTATACCACCTGAGCACAGAGCCGGGCCGAAACTCGAAACCACTACTCTTTCTATGTCATATGCCATGAACCATTGCACCAATACCCCCATTCGGAGAAGTGCGGGTCTGTTAATTCTCGTTCACATTCTTGTCCTGCATACGCGACGAGCAAGGGAAGCGTGATCGCCCACATCAATAGATCAGCGCTACTGAACGTTCGGCACAGTATCGCTTCAGACTCGAAAGAGCCGTCATGGCGGCAAGGAACGACCTCTAGATCGCTGCACTGAATATTGCGCAAGGTTGTCGCAAGTTGCTATCATATCAGGTCGAAGGGGGATAGATGAAAGGAAGACCTCCAATGGCGTCATCTTCCTCTGGTTCAGATAAGCACTTTAGACAGGTATAAGAGACTGGCAATCGGTTTGCTGGGGGATGCTTCTGATTGAAGGCAGGATGGGACGATTCACAATCATCAAAATCTGCAGCGATGCCTGATCCCTCTCCCACTCCTTCTGCCGATCTTGTTCGTAGTCCGTTCGACGCTCGTCTTCAACCTTCTATGACGATACGCGAGCGGGACGAGTACACTCGTATCCCCGAAGCTCCTTCACCAACCCCATCCGAGCCCGACGAAAAAGTCTCTTCCGACCTAGAACGAGGTACGCTCGAGGTCATCGTGGTCGAACCCGAACAACCTGCATCGTCATCACCCCCGCCAGGCGCAGCACCGTCACCGGCAGGATGGCGAAACGACGGACGTCTGAGTCGGCCGGATAACTGTGTACCCTTGCTACTTTCCGCGCTGTTCAGGGCTTTGGTAGATAGTTTTATGGGAGGAATGTAGAGTGCAATGAATCGACATGATGGATTTGCCCCTCACTACTCTGTTCGGAATCAGATTTTGTTTCCGAAGCTTGTCATTTGTTTACCAAGTCGCATCGTCGCGTTTGATCAAAGTTGACTTCATCTTGCATCTTGTTCATCATCTTCAATACATCAAGCTATTCACAATCTCGATGACTCTCACACTATCGCAAGACTAGACATACTAGCTCGGAAATCAAGAACTGTAACAATCAATCTACCACTCTGACGAAAAAACTGCGGCGAAATTGCGACTGGGGACGACCTTGATCGACGTGATCAATTCCGATCCTCACCGCCCATTCCTTCCGTCCTACCTTTCCCGCCTCTTCTCCAATCTCACGATGAAGTCCATCTTCCAACGACTCCGACATAAAGAACGGTCCGTATCATCTACCTCGGAAAAGGAGAACGATGAGCCCCGCCAAACCATAGCTACTCCCGGTGCGGCGTCGTTGAAGGCACCTAAACCGGCGAGACGATTCTCGAGGCAGGACTCGAATACGAACAAGGATAAAGATGACACCCTTTCTCAACAACAACGACCCAAAAGCGGAGGGTTCGCAGAGATGTGGTCGGGAACTCTATCTCGAGCGCAGGGGAAAGAGATTTCCGGATCAAAGTTGGGGGAAGATCTATCCCGAACCCAGACGGCTGTCTCTACGGCCGATTCTCAGATCAGCCCAGGGATGCTAGAGAGTACCATCACCTCATCCTCCATCTCCGGTCCTGCTCGCCCGACGACTCCTTTTTCCATGGAACCTCTTCACCCGGAGATTTCCCACGAACATGAATACAACGAATCTACGCTTTCGCCGGGGGAATCCGACGATTATGCCCAGATGCTGCGTACAACCGAAGATCCCACGATGACAGTCAACAACCCGACGAAACGGGTGGCCTTTGTCTCCCCCATCCGGACCCCTGCTACGAGCATCGCCCTAGATTCTATCGCTTGGGACAAAGTCGACCCTATTGCGGACTTTTCTTCCTCGCCCTCAGTCTCTAATCCTCAGCCTCAGAGTCAGAGGCAGGAGGAGAAAGCCGAGTCCCGCAGCGCGATGTTACGGGCGAAAAACGTCTTTCGGTCGAGGGACAAGTTGAGGGCGGATAGCGATCTGACGGGGACTCAGAAAAAGGGAACTGGGAATAGTAACGGTACTGATGCACCGACGAATATGGGAACCGGGATGGGGATCGGCTCGAACTCTCGGATCAGGATAACCAAGAAAGGTTCTGCCCCGCCTACCCTGATCACTCCGCTGACATCGACCACCTCGAAACCGAGGTTCACATCCCGGCTATCGCATCGTCGAGCAGAGACGACCGATGGACCGCTTCCTACCCCACCTCCGAGTTCCGGATCGAGCATGACCCCACCTCCTACATCCACCTCATCCTATCAACATCAACTCCAATCACCTACAAATACATCCACATCCACCTCGGCCTCGTCCATACATTCAGCCCGGGTGAGGGCGAGGACCGCCCCGGGGATTGAGACGGGAGGACTGGACCATGCGAGGTTCTGTGCGGTCAGACAGAGTTGGAGCGAGATTACTGAGGAAGACCTCGTCCAGAATTTGAGTCCGAGGGAACGGACTAGGCAGGAGGTCCTGTGGGAGATTGTCAGTAGCGAAGATCGGTGAGTGTGATCGTCAGGTTCAAATCGGCGGGCCATGTGATTTGGGCTCGTAGATGTGACGGCTGATGATGATATGAACCCTTGCTGTTTTACATTACAGCTACGTGACGGAGCTATGCAGGTTGAAGACCACCTTCATCGACTCGCTGCTTCCTCCCTCGACGGATGAACCCCCCGTCATCCCTTCATTTTCCTCTCCTATGGGCTCCCCGCGCTCAGACTCGGTCCCATCTCTCCATTCGTACATGACCAACAACAACCTGCACCGCTCCAAATCGCCGAGCTACAGCTCGACCAATTCCCCACCTTCGATCGATGAGGAATGTGAAAACTTGCCCATCGCAGCGAGGTTTGCTAGTCCGACGATGATGCACCACGCTAATATCGGCTCTGGGAGGGATTTCTCGGGGAGCGTGTCTTCCCGTCAACGAGAACGAGGGGGTTCGATGGATACGACCAATACCGCCATCTCTGATCAGACGCGTAGCGATGCGACCGGGTTGGACAGGTCCGAGCTGAACGACGAGACCATCAGGATCAAGCCGAATGAGAAATACTCGGTCCTGGTCAATGGGCGACCGTCTGATCAAGAGCCCGCCGGATCCACGAAGAATGGCCGGTCACACCATTCGTTGCCTCCTCCACCTCGAGGTAAAACCAACGGGCTGTCGAACATGCTCAATCAGTCGTTTTCAGCGAAGCATTCCAGATTCTCCCTCAGACCCGCTGCCAAGTCCGAAGATTCTGAATCGATACCTACCACGGCAGACTCGTCGACAAAGCACAACAAGCTGCATAAAAAACGAGAGAGGATGCCTTCCGGCTCGTCTGGGATGGATAACTTTAGGGATCATGCGCATCTTCCCGAGTTGCCTGAAGATCTCAAGATTATCCTCGACGTGCTGGGACATGGTGTTCTGGACGGTCATCTGAACCTGGCTGATCAGCTGAGGAAGCGGTACGACGACCAATACCCGTTGGTCAGGTCGTTGACCGACATCTTTATTGCCAACGTGAGTAGAGTTTCTCGTCCACGACCGTTAGAGATCAGGTCAGCGTTGACTGACGCGTGTTTCATCCGTAGGCTTCGGTGCTCAACCAATATGCCATTTACGTTCTTCACCTGGAAAAGGCGTTGCAACAGGTAGAATCTGCCGTGCTCGCCGCTGAAGCCGCAAGTAAAAAGTCGGAAAAGGGTTTGGTACCCGAGGAAGTCCGGCTAGGGCGGTACCTACTAGTGAGCAGCCACTGCAAACCACTGGCTGTGAAGCTCGCGGCTTATACTTCCTTTTTACCGTTGTGTTAGAGCCTTGAAGAGCTCGCTAAGGATCGGGGCGAGAGCGGACTAGTCATCTCGCTCAGCAAACCTTTCCAGAGACTCTTGAAGTACCCGTTGTTGTTCCAGAACTTGCTATTCGTGAGCCAAGCCTCTGTCGGGTTCAGCTTGACGATCGCTGATGCACGATTTTCGCTCATTCTAGCACACCGATGCGACCAGCCACGAGTTCGACGGGACCATGCTTATCTTGGAACAGGTGGACAGTATCGTGAGGCGTATAGAGGACGAAAAGTCGTCTCAGGAACAAAGAGAAAAGACGAGAGATGCCATTGCCCGGGTAGAAGGGTTGGAGAACGACAAGGTGAGCTCGTGGCCCTGCTCTCTGACAGGCTCAGCACCTTCCCTAATGGTTCAATCTTGTGATATTTTAGCTCCTGGCCGTTCCCAAGCCTTCTCGAGTATATGTTGAGGAGCATCGTTACAATCCGCCGGCAACTATCCCCGCTAGTCCGAGCCGAGGTAGCGTCAGACGAAGGTCAAGAGAGGATTCTGGACAGCGAAGGAGTTTCAAGCGCCTGAGCGATCTGATGAGGCATGAAGAGAAGGAGAATTGGGTGGTGGAAGTCCGGCCTCGATAGCGATTGCGACCCAAAAGCTGATCACGATGAGGATCACGGCTTCGACCTCCAGTGTCTTCTCGGACGTCTCGCTGCTAGTGCAAAAGACTGGTACGACCACCCTGGCTGTCGGTCATCAATCCACCAAGCACGATGGTGATGGCAAGGGACGTCAGGCCACGATCGGACGGAGGAGTCGGCAGATCACGCCGCGTAATCTGTACAAGGTGCGTCTCAAAGGTATGCCAAACGCAAGACCTACTGCTGACCTTGAACGCTTCCGCTATTAGTTTGTCAAGGTCCTAGAATGGCACGTTTCCTCTGGAGCGATCTTTTCGAACGGAATGTGAGCGGTCCGGCTTGTTCACGAGAGGCTCCTGAACTGACGTGGATGTTCCACCCCTGTTTGTAGGACCGACATGCAAGAGTGAGTCGGCATTCAGGACATGGTGTTAACCGCTCTTGCTGATGCCCTGCCCTGTCTTCTTCCGCAGCATCAGCCATTCACGTTCCGCTTCGTTCGGCCTTTCCCCTACCACCTCGCGAACTGAACACAATAACAACAACAGTACCCATGTATCCATCAAAGAAGACGAAGACGAGAACGAACACGACAATGATAACAACGACTATAATGACGAACCTCACGAACATACACGCAACCACGACACGAACAACGAAGACGAGAACGGTGACGAAGACGACCACGATCGCGACCAGAGCGATGATTCGGACGATAGCGAAGGAGCCATGTCGCTCATCTTTGCCAACACGCTCCGTGCTACCCGACCTACCTCGATGGACGGGGCGGTCGGGACGACGACGGGAAGACGACCTAGACGAGAAGGGCGGTTCTCTATGGGTCCCGCACCGAGGGAACGGGATGACGCTGGGGATGGGGATGGAAATGGGGATGGTCTGGTTGATACGACCATGCGACCTACACCCATTCGAGCGGCTTCCGGGGTGTCGCCGGGGAACAGCCCGAATAGACGAGCCGTACGGAAGACGGGGAGCGGGATGAGGGGGGCTGCTGTCACTCATGAACGGATCGCCAGCCCTAATGGCAATGGCCAGACGAGAGGGCCGTCCACGATCAGACCTGTTAGTAGGTTATCCACCTCCGGTCGATCTCGTGTCGGATCCACGACCGAGACCCACGCTGCTGCTGCTCGACCGGTCAGCACAGGTCGAGTGAGACCGACGAATCTGAGCATGTCAGTCAATACCGATCGACAGCAGGCCAAGTTTGCCGGGAGGTTACGGTTCCCACAAGGACACGCACACGCACACGGGAATGGGAATGGGGTTGGGAGTGAAGGGAGGGATAGTCCGATCTCGCCTACGACTCCGACTTCGATGACGCCCGGGTCCGTAAAAGCTGCTACGAAGATCGCTCCAAAGACGACTGCGACTGCCACTACGAAAACGACGATGACGAATAGTACGAAGGCGCTGTCTGCCCGTCCGGGCGGACAGGCGGGGGTAGGGAGGAAAGAGAGGATGGAAAAGGGCAAGGCGTTGGTACTCCCGAAAGCTCCTGGTGGAAGGATCTGACGGGCGGGTGTGATGGTACGAGTTTGACTGGTCGGCCTCTCGAGTTGGAGTGCCAATGGGGACCGGCTATTGCGATTTCCTCCCAGAGCCGTAAATGAGGCCTTCACGACCAGCCGCTCGATTTCTTCACCGCGGATCTTGTATAGCAGTTTGATTGACTTATACCTTATGAGCTTGTCCCCCGAATATACTCTGTGATCTGTGAACTCACAGGAGGGTGGAGTTGACGCCGTCGATGATGACTATGGTTGTTGTTACCCGGGCAAACTTCGCTTCGGTCTTTGTCAAGTTGCCGGTTCATCGCCCGAGAGTACAGTAGTAGTAACCCTGGCATTAACAGATTACATCTCTACCTCTAAGCATTCACCCTATAGCCTGAGCAGATCATCAGCATTCAGATAACGACCATGACCTCGTACGCCAGCTTCAATATCCCCGGATCCAAGTATATCCAGGCCTTGTCGCCATCGAAAGGACTCGTCCTGCTCCGTCTGAACCGGTCAGTCGTCTGAACGCGGGACGCCGAGGTCGAGCTGACCTTTATGCATATGTCCTTTATGTCGTAACATCAATCGTTCAGAGGCCCAGTGAACGCTTTCAACGAACCGTCAGTACAGTCAACACCATCTCCACATACGGATTCGGACTGAAATCATTCCAAAACCAAACCATATCACTCAATCTAGGTACTGGCGAGAACTACACCGGACGTTCGACCACGTCTCTTCCCACCCAGAAGTCCGGTGTATCGTCCTTTCGAGCGCTTTCGATAAGCTCTTTACTGCGGGGTTGGACCGTGAGTTCCCGGACCGTACCGGCAAGACGTTTTCTGGGGTTAGCTGACGGGTGGAGCTGAATATCACGATATCGACTTCGCTATTAGTCAATGATACGGACACCTTGTCCGGAGGTAAAGACTTGGATGTAGGGAGGAAAGGGTATATTCTGCACCATCATGTCAAGGTGAGCACCTCCCTCCCTCCAAACAATCCACGTCTTCTCCCACGGTGGATCTATCAACATTAATTTGAATACTCTGACACGGATCACTCAATCTGCCTCAATCTCGACGTGGATGTGGATGTGGACGTAATACGACGACTCGATTAGGATTTTCAAGATGCCATCACCTCGATCGAAAAGTGTCACAAGCCGGTGATCGCGGCTATTAACGGGTTATGTCTCGGGCTCGGTTCGTCTCCCTTCTTCTTGCTCCTCTTGCTCCGGCGCTTCGAAAAGCTGAACATGGGCTACATCTGTATCTGTATCGTATGGGTATGGTGACGGGTGGGTGATAGGAGTGGATATCGCCAGCGCGTGTGATATCCGGTTGGCTTCCGAGTCTGCCGTGTTTGGGATCCTCGTAAGCCGCAAATTTCATCTAGTCCCCCTCTGTCCCTGGCACTTCTAGCCTCTAGACCTGCAGATGTACTTAGTCATTGCCTTTCTGACTTACCCGCCTGACAAAACCGCCAAATCGCAATTGCAGGAAGTAGACGTCGGCCTAGCAGCAGACATCGGCACCCTCCAAAGATTCCCCAAGATAATCTCTTCAGCCTCTCTTGCCAGAGAACTATGTTTCACGGGCCGTCGGTTCGGAGCGATAGAAGCTGAGGGGATGGGGTTCGTCAGCAAGGTCGTACCCGGTGGATTGAAGGGGGTCGAAGAGGAGGCGGTCAGGATGGGAGGGGTTGTAGCGGGGAAGAGCCCTGTGGCTGTTTTGGGGACGAAGAATATCTTGAATTGTGAGAGTCGGATCCTCCTACCTAATTGGGCAATGATCAAAGTGATGAGACGTGTGAATGGCTGATGCTGATCCTGTACCGATTGTGCGATCTTGGTTAGACTCGAGGGACCATTCGTAAGTCGCCCCGAGGCCATACCATCACTTCCAAGGGGAGAGCTGAGACCACCTTCTCTTTCTATAGCGTTGACGACGGACTGAACTATACCGCCGCCTGGAACATGTAAGTCGGGCGGCTCAGATCCCCTTCCTTTCATGCTTAGCTGACCGACCGAGCCTCCGCATCTATAGGGCGATGTTACAGACCGAGGCAAGTCTCACTACACATCCTCGCGAAAACGAGTCGTCCACCCGCTAATCTTCCCGGTTGCTTATTGTAGGACATGACCCGGGCCGTGCAAAACTTCAAGAACAAGGGCAAAGGAGCCGTCTATTCTGATATGCCCGAGGTGCTGGCCAAGCTGTAAAGAGGTCCGCCCGCAGACCAGAGACGACGGTCGGGCTTGTCCCGTAAAGACAGAAGATGTGTGTTGGACGATATGCGAATGAAACGTTGTATTGTCTTCAATTGTTTCGACATGAACTCGCGGCGTGTTTCAGGATCGGAGTCGCCTTGACAAGAACCACTTGCGATGCTCGCAGCTCTGTTTCATTCAGCCAGCGGACTGGATAGCAGGGGTCTTGGTGTCAACAGATGGAGCACTTCGTGCGATAGCTGCAGGACGAAAATTAAGGCCAGTCCTAAATTCCATGCAGAAAGACACAAATATCGATTCATATACCTTAGCGGCTCATGACATAGTCTCGATCAGTCGAATAGTCGCGGTTGCGTGGTAAGGACAACTATACATACCTCCATAATGACCACTCAACTAGCAAGATCCTGGGTGATTTGCAGTTGAGCGAACGCTTCGTTTGAGATGAACTTTCCATTGTAAAATTCCAAGGATCTCTCGATTGGCCAGTGATCTGTGCACAGCTGGGTCAGTTTGTTGTAGATGAGCCGATCCGTTGTAGACGCCAAAGGTATAGTGCAGGACTGACCTTTGTCGAGCTGGCTCAAGCAATACATCGTCATAGTGCATTCAAGCGCGGGCTGCATCTCCCATGATCATCCCTGTGCGCTGGAAGATTCGGTACAGAGAGAGGGATGCTTCCAAAAGACTCGATCCTCTGGACAGCTGGACCGTTATTCAGATCCGCTCCGACACAGTGAAAGAGGCAAACAGGTGTGTGATTGGCAAGTCCGCCGAAGATCGTCGGCCTGTTCTTCAGTGGATCCATACGGTTCATCCATCTAATATGACATGTATAAGTGCAAGAAAACAAGCCCAACCAAACCCGACCGACCGGTACATCCAAACCCGCCCAAAAGCCATACAGCAGAAGGTCTTGCGGATCGATAAGCGAATTTACAAGAGGACCCTTCCGGCGGCGCTGGAGGTCAGCGTCTTGCTCGGCAGGACGATGCACCTGGAAGCACGAACGAGGCGAATCAATTTGCTGTCCGACGTGCGAGTCGAATCAGGGTTCAGGGTACTCACGATCGAATGACAGTCTCCTTGGCGACGGTCACGTTGGTAGCTGCAACCGCCCGGCATTAGCCTCAGAGGCATGTGCACGAAGAGGTTATTCCGGATGACTCACCCAAGATGGTGATATCCAACTGCTTGCCGTCCCCATCCATAGCCGCGGGTTCTCCGTCGATCCGACTCCACTGCCCGATCTTGCAGTCCTTGCCGACGATGGCGTTCTGCACGCAGGCGTGTTTCTACCCCAGGAAAGTTCCGACATTTTCAGCTGGTACTGGTGGAGAGGAAATAGAGAGGATGAGGTAGGAGGTTGGGCTTACGTCGACGAACGCTCCTTCCATGAGGATGGCATCCTTGACTCGAGCTCCAGCGGCGATCCGTACGGCGGGGCCTGTAAAGGCAAGAACAACAACCAAGCCAAGACGAGACACGGATCAGCAACGACGGTCCAGTTCCGGACTGTTAACGAGGCCCCCTTTGACCCACCCAACGAGACGTTCGGCCCGATCTTGGCCGTCTCATCGACCTCTGCCGTCGGGTCGATAAACACCGGTGGCAAGATCGTCGGCCCACCCGACCCAGCTTTCCCAGGGGGAGTGAGGAGCTTGGAATTCGTCTTCTGGAACTGAGCCAGGTAGAGCGCCGAGGCTGGGACGGCCGATCCGGCGGTCTTGATCTGACGCCAGAAGTCTTTGGATTCGTAGACGAACATCTTTTTCGAGGCGGCCAGGGGGACGATGACGTCTTGTTCGAGACGGAGGAGGTCGTCTTGTTCGCCAAAGGGGTCTTCGCTGTGGGTCGGGCGAGGTGGGGCGCGGCATGTCGAGGGATTGGGGGGAGGGACGAAGTGGATTTACGTCAATTTTCTCGTTCGTGCCATTCAATCGAGAAATTCAGATCGGTACGTACGCGGCATCCTTTTGTTTGGTCTCCATGGCGATCTTGACCTCGTCAAAGAACGACCTGTCGAACACTACCTCGTCCACCAACATCCATATCATATCCTAATCAGCTCTGCTCCTCCTCGTTTCCCCCTTGCAAATGCAAATAGATATCATCTCCCCAGGACCAGGAAACTCACAGTAAACGCCCCCATTGATCAAACTGCTAATCCACTTTTCCGGCTTCTCCACGTAATGCAAGACCTGCGCCGAGCTGGGGTCGTGTACGATACACCCATACTTGGTAGCAGTGTCTTTGGCGACGTTTACGCCCAAGATGGTACCTACGCCCCGGTGCTTGGAATGCAGGTCGGAGAGCTCGGAGAGGGGGAAGGAGGAGCAGATGTCGGCGTTGATTACGTAGAATTCTTTGAGGTTGGGGAGGATTGCGTCCCGGACTGCGAATGCAAAGTTGGGGAAGGGGGGAAGGGGACGAGATAAGAGGGTTCTTGTTAGCTAGACCGGAGAGGTCGCGGTACGGTGCGTGCGATTGACAGAAGCAGAGCATCGAGCCGGGGGGGGAGGGGGGGACTTACAGTGGTACAACCCCCCAGCGGTCCCTAGAGCTCTGTATTCCCTCAGATACCTAGTATAGTAGAACGAGGAGGACAAAGATCGCAATCAGCTCTCGAGCTTCCAATCGTTTCAATAACACAACACCTCCCATTCTGATTATATAATGTAGATCATAAGCAAGGGGGGGGGAGGCAGGACGCAGAGAGGACGTACGTGATAGACAACCCGGGAAACTCCCTCTTGGCCTGTTTGATGAAATCCGCAAACAGGCTGTCCTCGTAGAACCCGATGATGACGACCTCGGTCAGACCTTTTATCTTGGACAAGGCTAGGAGGGGGTGGTAGATCATCGGCTGTGTGTGTAAAATCGTCGTATACAGTACAGTGTACAGTACATAGTATACGGTAGGTGCTATATTAGCGTCCGGAGGAGATTGAATTGCGTAGGTTTCAAGGAAGATCCTTGGTCGGGTCGGGCGATCAGGAATTGAATTGAAGGGGGTTCGAATGACTCACCTTGCCAGCGATAGGGAGGAGGGGTTTAGGGGTGTCCAGGGTGAGAGGACGCATCCTCGTACCTAATACATATCGAAGGTTAGAGAGTATCAACCTCCGGGGATCGACGGCTGTCTCAATGCTTCGACAACGGGCGGACTCACCCTTGGTCCCACCTCCAGCGAGGATGATAGCTTTGGTAGCGGACATGGCTTGTGGTCTCGAGTAGCTTATGTGTGATCTAGATGCAGAAGACGAGGTGAAGTATAGAATAATGTATAGCTATAGCTATAGCTACTCTAGTAGTTGTTGACTTAGCTCCTCGTTCGAACGTGTCGGACACGTCCGGAAGCGGAAAGTCGTCTTCTCCTCCTCCCCTCTCGGTGGCAAACCTTGTGGGGGACCTGCAAGTATAAACAAACGACTTTGTCGGTTCAACATCTCATTGTATACCGTCGATAGCTATCAAATGTCATGAACTTGGCCCAGGCTCTCTCACATCCGATCAGGGAGACGAACCTGATCGAAACAAGACCTAGCGTATAGGAATATAGGAATCCACACGCACACAAAAAAGATCGATACATCTATCTAATCTGATCCTTCTTCTGCTCCGACGCTGGCACCTGATACTGTAACGGAGACGTGCGTCTTCACCACAGAACCAGACAGGGTTTACCAAGCCAAGTTCTACTTACCATACCCGTAAAACAAATTAAATGGGGGGAATATCGCCCCGCGCAAGCCTTCATTCGAGCGATATCAGGTACTTGCCTGTCGTATCAGAACGATTCTTGTCGATTCGAACAATTCAAAGACCTCTTCAAAGAGTCCATCACATCCGCAATCACCCAAAAACCCCCTAGATCTTTATCTGCACTCAAAGAGTTCTGCATAGCCGACGTCTATTATAAACTTCAGTCCACGGCCTCACCGCTCTTATTCCCCGAGGAACAGGATTGTCTCAAACAGACAATCCGATACAGTACCGGCGGAACCTATTCGACGGAATGGGCTCAGGCTGATACTGAGGATAGTATGAGGATTGCTGTATCTTTGAAGGGTCTAATGGAGCACTACAAACCACCGGAGTTGCCGTCCATTCTCCCTGTCCAGTTCGATATGTCAGCTTGTCCCGACAGATCCGACAAGGCTCTAGACACGATCAAGAGCTGGACGACGCAGCTCCTTTCCTACCGATCTCCGTCTGATGCTGTTACTGTTATTGCCATGGCAGTGCAGTACATTGTGTCGTACGCTGTGATAATGTGTTGTAGTTGGAGGATCTTGTATCAAGCGGAGGGGCTTAATTCAAGCGACCGAGTATAATACTGTTCCCTAGAATCTGAGAGGATTACTGTAGACCACTGTAAAGGTCACATCACGTCGAATTACTCGTACGTTGGCGCAGCGCGAGGCTGAGATATACTTGGTTATCACTTGATGTGTTCGTCCCTGTCGTCAAGGAATGATGCCCGTGTATTCCTGTCTTTGGTCCAGGATGATGCTTGTTACATAATGAAAGATTGGTGACGTGCTCATTACTGCATGGTGTCAGGTGAGGACAGGCGACGTGTCGGTCGTGCTGATCGGTGAGGGTACAATAGTGAATTTTTTAGCCTTGCTGTCAAGTGAGGTTTAGGCATGTTGTTCGTGGTGTTGAGCGGTAACAGCAGCCAGAAGGAGAAGATTGTGTGGTGTGTTCGTCATGCTGTTGCTTGACAATCGCGACTCGACACTGCAGGTTGTGTTGTACTGTAGACGAGTCTGGCCCATGGTAGCGCTGGATCAAAGCAAGATGAGGACTCGTGAAAGCTCCTACAGTATGCTTGTGCTCCTGCGTTAAGCTTGCATAAGGCTGAGGAGAGACATACGGACTGATTAGCTTCTCGTAGTCAAATAGTGTATGTTTGAGGAACGATACTGTAGGCACATGTGGGGTATCCGTTCGGCTCGATAACCCCTGTCTGCAACGCTACTGTAAAGCATGTTCGGCACCAAAGGAGATGCAGATCATCACGAGTACGCTTGCGTTCGAGTTTATGATAATAGAGGTTCACTATCAAGGTTCGTTTTCGATCGATCAATTGAGACTGGTTTCTTTCTGCGCAAGCGGCTGCTTAGTCGGATTTGTGTCGGACTGGTGCAACTCAATGAGCCAGGCTACTGGTACTCCTGTCGACTCAAGATTGTGCCCTTGATCCGTTCGACAGTTCTGAATTTCTAGAGCGCCATCAAAGTGTTCAAGACCATGATCAAGCAAGACACGCTTGACAAGTCCTGGAAGGCAGATCAGACGGTTTGGTGAGTGTGAGACCGGTATGCAAAGGTTCACTTTGACCTCGACCTGAGCAAATCACCCCTTCGACCAAGTGCGGTCTCGCTTGGATCATTCAGAAGGTTAGTATAGGCAGTTGTGAATTCAGTAAACACCGTTCTTACTGCCGACAATTTAAAAAGGTCATGTGATTGGCAACCTCAGAGTCGGTACTTGGGTCACCGATATGGTCGAGTGGGACGGCCTTGGCGATGAAGCTGAGGATGAGGACGGGGGCAAGATCCTTGTTCGATGATTCTGATCCTTCTTCGACACCTCCCATCCTTCTTTGGAGTGGCACAAACATGTACCTTGGTCGCCAGAATGCACCCTCATCAAGTTCAGGAGGAATGAGGACGTGATGGAGGGATTTGGCAGGGACATAGTTCAGAGTTTCAAGATGCGCATCTATGACGGGGCCTGCTCAAATAAAAACAATCCGGGTTCAATCCATATGCGTCTCATGAAAAAATGAGGAACGACAGAGACGAAATGACAGAGATATAAAATGTAAGGAACGCTGGCGGCTGAAGCTGATCTTCCATCAACGACTTCTCGATGAGCGATCGGGAGATCTGATGGATCTAGACTCGCTCAAGCGCGCGTTTTGGAAGGGCGAGCGGGTGTGTTCAAGACGCGTTTCAGAATCTGCGTCCACGGGTGAGAGCTGCACAGATCGGAATTTCAAGGTAGATCGTTGCATATGCTACTCTCTTATCAACGGCGTCGTATCGTATAGCAAGATACGAGGAAGTACCTGAAGGAGGCTCTGGGATCGCGAGTATGGATCACAAGGGAAAGTCGAACGAAAGCAGAGCGAGAACTTGGTTTGGGATAACACACAGAGGAACTACGTCGGTATCGTCATATTCCTACTACACGACGATGCCGTTTTTTCGGAAACGTTCACAGGGCTATAAAAGTCCGTACGGCGACACGCCGCGATCATCACGCCGACCCGGAATCTCGACGTTCGCCGCGAAAGGTGCGCGTATCGTCCGGAGCGACGTTCACGATGGGGTCATTGTCACGGTTCGAGGCGTTCGATCCAGCAGATCGCGTCCCGATCTGGTATCCGGGCTGGACTGACCCGGTCGTAGAGGCGGTCTGGGTAGAGCCGGTCTGACTGGTTGTGGTGGCGGTAGAGCTGCCATCCAAGCTGGCGTAGTATTTGGAAGCCATTTCGTCGAGGTCGACGGTCCCAGAAGAGGTGGATTGGGAGGAGGACATGGTCTCGAGAGATGGTATGGCAGGGTGCGAGGTAGAGGTAGACGGATGGATTGTGAGTGCTTGGCATGGGTCAGCTCAGCCACACTTCAAATCAACGACTTACGGATTTTGACGTCTTTATACTCCTCTGTCGGCTATGGTCCTTGCCCATCGCACGTCATCGCATGTCTGAACTTCGACTCAACCCTGAAAGGAGCCACCGCCTATACAATGGAGCGCCCGTGGCTCCTCTTTTGTGTATTTACATCTCCGGCGAATAGACAAAAGAGTGCATCTCCGTTCGAAGGCAGGGTGATCTCATCCTGAGGGCGCTGCGAGAACTTCCTTTGATAGCTTGCCACTGCGGTGCTTGCTCGTGATATGATGGCGGGATGCAGATGAAGGGAGCGTCCAAGCGCATCTCTTGTTCCCACGTGAGGATAATGGAATACTCATCGAGCTCAAGTCCAAGCGGGCCGGGTGATGTCCTTGCGGTAGGTGTTTTGCAGAACAAGGCTTGTCGCGTATTCGGAACGAGCAAAGGTAGCGAGGGTGTAGCAACAGATGTCCAACGATCTTGCCTTTGGACAGCGGGAATCTCGCCTCTGAATGCAGCAAGAAATGATCAGAAGCTACACCCAAAAAGGTGTGGCTCAATCGCAAGGGTCCGCCCGCTCTGCATTGATATCTTCAGCTCATCCAGTTAGCAACTCGCGCTCATGCTACTCACGCTCATGCAGCTTTTCCAGAGCTCAGGAAAAGGGTTTAACGGTCCATGTGATATTTGAAACGTCAGGCGAGGACGTCATACGTCCATGTACGGATACAGTGTAGTAGTGATACCATCCCAGACCCGAAAATGCTCTTTGTCCGTCTTGCCACTTGAATCATATCGCTCGTCTATTCGATATAGACCAGCATTCTCCAGTGATCGAATGCCCTCGGCTCATTCTCCTTCGTCTGATCCCTTCCGATTGCTTCTTCTTCTTCTTCTTCTTCTTTTGCTGGTGCTTCGGCCGAGACCCACTGCGTCGAAAACTCCCGACCTAATCCCCATGGTGGATTCCCTAAAACCCACTGATCGACCTTAACGAAGCTCCTCAGTATACCTTGAGCGCTCCACTTGCACTGCTCTGATGAGATGAGGACGACTTTTTAAAGGAGGATCTGATACCCAGTGACTCTCCGCATGACCACCTGACGGGATGGCAGATGCGGTCAGCCGAAAACACCCAGCGAGCAAAATCGGGAGATCGAGACGTTTCCCCTCGTCTCGTGTCGTCTCGTCTCGTCTCGTCTCACTCGGAACTCGAACTAGGCGCCCTCTCAAGGTAAAGGTAAAGGAGGCGGATTCTGGGGAGGTGAGGGGGGTGGTGGAGCGTCCGGGATGGGTGGGACGTCTTCCTCCTTCTCCTCGTCGACGTCGTCCTCCTTGCTATCGCTATCGTCATCGGTATCGCTGTCTCCATAGGCGCCCATCAATCCTCCCAATCCCATCGCCCCCGATCCCGAACCCGCTGACTTGTTCGCCTCAGCACCATCACCCGCCCCAATCCCTTCACCCCGCTTCAATCTCTCCCAAGCTTTCCTATACCTCCCATCCGTCTTCAAAAAGCTAAACCTCTCGTCCGAATGATGTAACGTCAAGATCCGGAGTTCTAGGACCTGAGGATTCGACGCGGCTCGGAGGGAGGTGAGGGTGTGGGTCATCAGGGCGAGGGTTTGAGCTGAGGGCTGAGGAGGTTGGAGGTGGAAGTCGATGGTAGGCGATGGTAGTGGTGTTATCGTTTCAAAAAAAAGGGCACCGAAATCAGCATCTGCATCAGTACCAACTCCGCCTCATACCAGCTCCTCCATGTCAGAGGACTTGTACGACCCACGAATCTACTTACTTCTTCATCACAAGGACGTATCTCGGGAACGTCCAACCCATCCCCATCATCCTCGTTCTCCCGTTCACGTTCGAGCTGCTCCTTCTCCCTAGCCTCGATCAACCGGAGTCTTTCGTCCTGCGCCGAGTTGAGTTTTCTCCTTTTACGATCTCTTTGCAGGGCTTCGTCTTCCTCGTCTTCTCCTTCTTCTTCTTCTTCTTCTCCTTTTGCGGTTTCGTTTGGTGGTGGAGATGAGGAAGAAGAAGATGAAGGTGAAAGCTGAGAAGTGGGAGGTCGTCCCGACCCGAGTCTCTTTGTAGTTGTAGTTACAGTGGCATCGAGTGACGTTCCGTTTTCGTCATCGACGAGCGGTGGGGGTGGTAAGAAATCGTCCGAGTCGTCGACGATGTTTAACCTAAAAGATTGTTCGGGTTTTTTCAGCTCGGGGGGGTCTCACCAAGACCCAGACTAGATTAGAACTCTCATCCTGAAAAGAATCGGTGTTGACGGTATGATATCCGATAGCGGGCACTTGAAATGGTTCGCTGGCTACGCAAGCACCTTTACTCCTCTTCAACATCACAGCGCAGCCTGATGTTACTCGACTCTTCTTGATGATCCTCAGTTCTTATGATGATTCGACGATGACGAGACGGCAACGTGAAAAGACAGAGTGTTTGAGCAGACACGCACCCGGAAGAAGACATGTTGGTCATGAATCGATCGATCATGTATCGTATTATCGAACAGGTGGACAGTCTCTTAAGTCCTAAAGTGTGTCTTGTTTCTTGATTGTATGCCAGGTTTAGGCAAGGGAATAAGAGCAAGTGCAGACTACTATGGGGTGGTATGGTACAAGTATGATCAGATCAACAGCAGGGTCAAGGAAGTCGTGAACTTGACCTTGGACTCTGCGTGAAGCCGCCGAGAGCGTTAGAGGTTCTGAGGGGTGGCAAAACACCATTCATCCATATGCATTGCAACACTCTTGAAACACGACAACGGTATCCTTTCAGAAGCTGAGAAACACTTGCCTCGAAGCAAAGTAGCGTTCCAAGCTCTATTGTGTTTGAGGAGATTGAATCTAGAACGCTCGATGGTATGATCACTGTCCCTCTCAATTGTAATCGTCAGAACCTGACGTCCTGGCTCATTTCCGATAAAGAGGTCCTGTACAACAAGGCCGAGCTGACCTGGCCAATGGTGGCTTGACTCGACTCCTGCTCTCCGACTTCTCCGTCGCCCAGCTCTCGCCTGGACCTGTGATTTCCAGATGTTGTGTTTCCCATGACCCTTTGGTATTCCGGGCCGGCCTTTTCATTGTCTTCATAAGGATCGACAGGAAGGAGGCGGTGACGCTCTTGACTTTGCCTGCTTGGGCTTGCAGGAAGAGGAGCAGGAGAAGAGGATGGGTGTTGGAACTGAAAGAATTGCGCTGCTTCCCAAGTCAATCAATTTGCTAGTAATTGATATACAAAAGACTTTAGAGTTTTACATACCTGCTTCCCAAGTCAATCAATTTGCTAGTAATTGATATTCAAAAGACTTGAAAGCAGGAGGAGGTTTTTGAAACAGAGAAGTAGTGAATATAGGGATGTCTAGATGTAGGAGAGGAGAAGCGAGCAATCGACGCTAGGCGACGCGTATTTAACAGGAACCGACCAGAGCTTTTGGAAGCATTATTGCGTCGGAAAGGATCATCACGTTGATTATCTTCCTCGTTAACCACAGAGATGTCATGTGAACCAGCATCAGCTGTGGAAATCCGGGCTCCAGGTCTCCAGGTGAAGGTGATATCATTTCAAAAGTGGCTTAACACCTACCAGGAGATGCTGGACCTTTTCCACCAGACCTTGCGACCTGATCATGCACTTATTGACTTGATTCGATTTCGAGGTCACCGTCGTACGACCATCCAGACGCCGAGACCCGCCTCCTCTTTCGGCGTCCCTAGACATTGTCGAGAGCCCTCCGCACGTCGCAGGACCCTGTACACTGTATCAATCATCACCATCTTCCCATGCGCTCATCGACCAAGATAGTCTGAATTGCGTTGCGGCTTGGTGACTACCATGACTATGACATATAACTCGTGTGTATACAAAACATACTATACTGATCCGGCCGATCGATGTATGGCCACTACTATGATGATGACTATTATTGATACATCTGGTAAATCTGTTCTATATTTCGTGTACCGTCGGCGCCGGTTCTCTGTTATTAACAAGAAACCCGCGGCGATAATCCTTTCCTCTGACCCGTGCGACACGATGATCGTCGTCTATCCCTCTTGGTTACAGTACAGTACGTGCTCGAAGCACGGAACGTAAATGTCATCGCCCCGACTGGTGCTGATTAGGCGAAGGGAACACCTGGTTGACGGGGTAGACGAACCCGTCCGTCATGTGTTCATATCCAGCTTGATTCGCATTGACGGCCTCATCCACGTCCAATTCTAACGGCATGACCGAGGAGCTAGCCGAGATGTCCGACGGACAAGCTGAAGCGGATTCGGGTTTCATTCGGTGCACATGTTGTAGTTGTTGTTGTTGTTGTTGTTCTTGCGGGTTGGAAGGGTGCGTCCGGGAAGCTCCCGAGGTGCTCGTGTGGAAGAGGGAGTAGTCGTAATCGTTTCGAGTTTGGATTTGGGCTTGAGTTTGAGTTTGGGTTTCAGCGCTAGGGCCGCCATTGGGAGGAGTACCTAGGCCGGACTTGGGATGGTAGCCCGTGATCATCGGTGCGTACCCAGGGACATGTTGATTCGATTGATAATGTTGCTTCTGCTGGTATTGTTGCGACGAGGTAGGTCGTACGCCTTGACCCGCCCCACTACTGACATTGAGTCCGAGCTTGCCTCCCTGAGGGTAAGGCTCGAACCCGGTGTACCCAACGATCGACGCCCTGCGATCGGCCTGCACTTTGTTCCCGCCTGCTTGTTGCTGAGGCGTCACAGGGTGAGGATTGTACAAAGGATGCTGCTGTCCATGTCCATGTCCATGTCCATGTCCATGTCCATGTCTCTGCACGTCGGGCGGGAACTCGACGGTCCCGGCTGGAGCGGACCAGATCGTCTCGGGCTGACGCAGGCCGTGGGTAGAGTACGTCCCCGGAGTCACCGTAACCGACAACGGACTATAAGACGGAGGCTGCATGTCCATGTCCACCCGAACGCCAGATCGAGAGTCGTCATCCGAGGCGTTCCGCTTGACGCCAGGTCTGGCAGGTAGTCCGAGACCATCCCCACCAACGGTGATCTGGAGCGGAGGTTGTAACCTCTGAATCGGCTGGATGGGGGAAGCTAATCCGGACACGGTAGACCCATATTGTTCCTTGAGAGCAGGCGGGTGCAACGACACATTCGAACCAAGCTCGAGGCTCTCGGTCACCTATACGATCGGGGCGCGGTGGATAGAGATGCCAAGGGGAATAAGCGACCTCTCGAACAAAGTTTGAACCATCCGTGCGCTATGCTCGGCAGGTGACTAACCGGTTTGCCTCCCCGTTGAAGCTGTCTGACGATATCCTGTAGCATCCTGATCTCATGATCCTTCTTCTCCAGAGTCCGAACGAGTTCTTCCACCCGGATCTCCAACTGGAAAGATGTAGGGTGGGCGTGATGAGCATGTGAGATTCCGTGTGAAGCGCGACATTCTGATGACGGGCGCGAACTCACGTTGGCAGTATGCTCCATTCGCCTCCTCCTCAAATCCTGTTGTGCTAATCGGTTCTGCTCCTTTCGTCGAGCGCGCTGTAGGTTTTGGTAAAAACGATCAGGTTAGCTTGGTCATACTGTAACAAGCGCAGACGATCCGGACCGACCTTTTCCTCCTTGGTCAACTCGGCTACAGTCTCTTCGCTCGTGTATCGAATCAGACCGACGCCCTGAGCCATGACGGCTTGATCTCCACTGGAAGCTGGTCGTCCTGAAAAGAGGTCGACAACAATACAATTCGCATCAGTATATGATCGACAGTCACGACAACGTAGCGACTCACCTAGCGCTCCAGGCATCCCAGGCCAGTTGGGCGCGCGACTTTGCTGCTGATGATGCATGTTCCACGGCTCGCCCGCTTCCGGCGCCGACGTGGACAACCCATGCGCCACATGTTGTTCATTGACAGAATGTTGAACGTAGTGCGTTTGATAACCGGGGTGGGTCGCTGCCTGGAAATGAGGTTGATGATCCGGTCCATGGTAGGTCGACGTTTCGATCGGGATCGCAGTCGGGATCGTCGCGTATAGGGGTTGCGCGTGATTCATCTCGACGCTCAGGACGTGATGCTGCTGTCGCTGCTGCTGCTGCGATACCTTTTCCTGATGTCTCTCAAACTCGGCCTTGTTCGAATAAACAGGAGAGCTTCGCTTGTCGCCAAAAGCCGATGGCGGGGAGGCCGAAAGATACTTGTAGGCAGGCGCGGGACCGATCGACAGGGGTCGTCTCGAATGCGGCGCGGTATCTGGACTGGTCTGGTGCTCCCAGTTGAACAATTCGGTTTCAGTCTGATCGATATCGCTAGTAGTATCGTAGTACGACTCCCACATGGATAGGTCGGATCGAGTAGGTTTAGTGTGTGTGTCGATTGTTGCGAAACGGGCGAAGCCGAGAGGGGGAGGGGGTCCTGTGTGCGCTTAATGGCGATTCGGGCTGGATCCCGATCGGTGGTGGGCGGTTGACGTCGTCTCTGTTCGTTCGCCTTGGCCGGCCGGCGAACTGGGGAAAGAGGGTTGGTTGCCGAGTTTGAGTTGAGCTTGGACCAGATCGTTGAAGATTTGAGCCGTATAGGAATCAAACACAAGCGTTGAATACGCTTTACGACTAAGCAACTGCGTCGTGACGATTCGCGAGAGCGCGGCCAGCGGTAGGCGATTTATACTATTCGATACTGCCTCGAACAAGCTTTGCTCAGACTGCACCGGGTCGAGGGAAAGCTTGATTCAAAGGGTCGACTATATCTATATTGTTTCGTAAGATCTCGCCTCGTCCTGCGAGATCGACGGACGGGTAAAGCTGCCGATTTGGTTTGCTCGTCCAGTGGGGTTGACGACCACCTGTTGTTGGGACCAGCGGAACCGAATAGCGAATCCAGCAGATGTCGCGATTGCAAAGTCAGCAAATTGAACCTTTTTCTTGCCTATGGAAGGCGCTCGACCCAGATCGAACCGAAAAGCTTACCGATCGTATCTGGCTTCGAGGTTCGTCGCCGCGGGCAGGAAGCCACAGCTGCGTCGGTCGATCGGGAACCGACGCAGCATCACTACTGGTGGTGGTCGTCGCCGTCGTCCCCATCGCATCGTTTCGAAAGCCATCTTTTTTTTCTGTTCGACCTACCCCGCTGCGATAACAAGACGTCGAGCTACGGAGAGCCATCCTGAGCCCCGCAGAGGCGTCGCATCAACCGCACTACGGCTCGTCTCGGCGGATGACTCAGGCTGCCATGTGACGTAGAAACACCCAAACGTCTCGGTACGGCGTTCGTCTGTCCCTTCATCTCATCTATATGAGTTCGTGCATTCGCCGAGGAACAATTTTTGCATAATAGAGAGAGACACAGAGAGACAGAGAGAACAGCTCGAGACGGGAGATACAAGCAGAGTTATCTCCCACAGGAATATACCCCCGGCAATGGCGATGCTTCGGTGGATCGGATGATGCATCACAAGGTTATCTCCCGTCGCCAGACGAGGAGCGCTCATCACTTTTTGATTGAAGGGGGGCTTACTCTCTTCTGCGCTAATCTTCACGACGTGGTCCCCCTGGCGCATGGGGTTGTCCGGTCCAGGTACCGACGTACCGACCGATACTCCGAGGTTGGTCTGCGCACCCCCCGCCTCCATGCGTAGCTCTCCCACCGCGGCTTACGCCCTGATCGACGTCGATGCCTGCACGTCGTCTGTCCGAGATCTCCAGAGCGGAAAAACAGGAAGAATCGATCGCATATCGAGTTGCAGCAATACGCAGCGGACGTCGGGTACGGATGAAAATCTCTTCAAACCCACCGTGTGTTGTGCGGTCACAATGTGGATCTCGACGACCTCTTTGCCTCGTGACCATATCGTAGAGGCGGGGGACCGGCAGCAAAATCAGAAACAACAATCATATTTGATTGGACGAGGGCTGTCTCGCCTCGTATTCGATCGTCGACGCTTTGCTTCACGATCCGAACAGTACCAACGCCCCCCTCAGCTGTGTCGGTCGTCGTCGTCTCGTCGATAGGGGGAAGCGAAGGCGAGATGCCTCCGTTTCGGTACCTCGATGCAGGCACAGGGCGTGGCAAGTCGTTCGGCAGAGCGAAGACGATCAGCCCGGTCAACGGCTCCGATCGAAAGAGCCGAAAAGGTCCGAACTGCCGGTCTGTCACCTGCCTGCGGTCAAGCGTCATCCGGGGAAAAGCCAAAAGCTGGACAAGAACCAGTGCCTGTTGTAGTTATTCCGGTCATGACCTCATGTCCGAGAAATCGTGATTGTGAGCGACCACGAGCGCACGAATGTCCATGGTTCAGTAGACAATCGCCGGGAAACCGATCGAGCGGACAGACATTGCACCACCGAAGTATTAACCATGGAGCGTGACCATGCCATTCGGTCACGTTATCCCATGGACCCATACGGACGCTGTGAGACGGTCGAACACGACTGACCTACCTGGACATGCCCGGCTTGTCTTGTCCTGACCCCAAGCGTACGATCCTCTCCATCGGCAGTATCGTCCATGATCATCACCGGCGATAGAGACCGTGCCGGGGAGCGCCTTCCAGCCTCGCCATCGAGCCGCGGTCACAGCGAACAGCCGTGCAGGTTCATTGCGATATTGTCTTAAAGCCCCGAGGTACAGACTCGAGCAGAGCACAAGCAATTTCGGCCTCTGTTCAATGACCGATCTCCGACCTCTTCATCCCCGTCCGATTTTCTAGGCGCTCTGGGCGAGACTCTTCTCGATCTCCTCCTTGAGCGAAGCCTGCAAGGTTACATACGACGTCGTTCGTCCCCGGAGTATCGCATCGAAAACACGCCGAGAGACAATACGCGAGGAACGCGCCGCGGCAGGGCAACGAGGTTGGTCCGAGGGGGAAGCGAGGCGCGATACATATGGGCCCAAGGGGGTGGTTACGAACCCCGCAGCATCGGTGACCATGATGCACAGAGCGATGTGATGTACAGGAGATGGCAGGACGAGGGAGATGCGCGAATAGGGGTTAGAGAACGGTGCGAGGTGAGCCATGCGTGAGCTTCAGGCTCCACGGCAGACTCGACTTACCGGCTTGGTCACGCTCGACCATCGTCCGACAACCTCGCCCTTGCGGTTGACGAGGAATTTCTCAAAGTTCCCTGTGGTACGGCGAAAATGGTCGTTTGCAAATTCGTCGTTCCGTCACAAGTGGAGATAGCGGTCGATCGATCGTCATCAGCTGCGGTGATATGGCGCGACGAGACCGGCGATGCGGCTCACACTTGACCACGCTCGTTCCCATCAACCCCTTGCCGTGTTCCTGCTGCTTCAGCCAGGCGAATACCGAGTTTTGCTTGGGTCCGTTGACTTCGCTCTGACGTGCGTGCGTGGATACCGTGTGGGATGCCGGTCAGCTCGCTATGGCATTATAACGAGGACGAGCGCGCTTCGGGGCTCACCTTCTTGACGAGCTTGAAATCGACGCCGTGGTTCAGTTGGCAAAACTGCCGAGGCGTGTCCGTGGTAAGTCTCATCGTACGGCTTGGACAGAACTAGGCCACGTTGCACTCACGCTGGCGATATCCTCGTCCGATCCGGGCTCCTGTGGATCGTCCAAACAAGGGCGCAAATGCATCAGCATCAGCATGCGCGATCGCTGATCATCTTGCAAGACGAGACCCCAGACGACGGAAACAAGACGTATCACAGCTCGCCGGCTTGAGTAGAACAGAGCAGGTTCCTCCCAATGCTTATTTAATACCGATTTGGTCTCCTTGACGAACACGCCCGAGGTCCAACAGCCCATCGTATCCCCGCCCGCCCAGCCTTTGCGAATCAAGCCTGTGTTTCCATTCCGCAAACCTCCGTCTTTCCACACCGCCAGGGCGACCGTATCCCATCTCTTGCCTCGACCGTCCAGGTCGACCTCTGAGTCGGTCGTGCATGCCGTTTTGGCAAGTCCACGCCCAATCGCATATTCGTACATGGTCGATATGGTCTGGGGTAAAAGCCGGCCTCGAAATCCACACCCAGCGCCCATGTGTCCGGTAAAGGTTTTTTTTCTTTTTCGGCGATGGTGCTACCTGTTTCTACCTTTACTCGTCTTTCGCAGGAGGAGAAGGTCTCCATGGTATTCCTGCTTGGTCTCTTGGCTGACTCCCCTTATTGCGGCCCCCTGGCAATCTCGCCTATCTCAAATCGAGGTCACTCCATTGCTCTCCCCCCCCTACATTCTCCCTCTACAAAGGAGCATTCGACGACGACGTCCGACGGCTGAACACTCGGTTCGGCTCTTCTCCTCGCGGCAAACGTGATGTGATTCAGATTTCCCGGCTGATCTCGCCGTCTCGTCTCCTTGCGGTGGCGTAGCGTAGCGTCCCGTTTCCGACACTCGGTCGAGCTCTTTCCTTCCGAGGGAGACGATGTTGATGTCGATGTTGATGTTGATGTCGATGTCGATGTCGATTTAAAGGCGGAAGAGGAACCCCTATGCTGGGATCTTTTCTTCTTTCCATACTTTACGCTCTGTTTCACCCTGTTCGCCAGGTTATTTTCTCTCCCGCCACCACGAATACCACCCAGGTCGTTATAACCCATCTCATCTTATCACATCGGGTCCCATCCAGTCCGTGTCTTCATAGTTCATATGTACCTTCTAAGTAGGCCGTACGATGGCAGGACTAATCCATTTCCATTTCCAGGGCCGATCCCGATCACGTTCCGCAACCGTGTTGCATTGCATCTCTCTGATCCTTCCAAAGGAAACATTCGATTTCAAATTTCAAGGTTTCGAGGTCCACCCCCTCCATATGCTCATCCGATCATCCGATCATCCGATGATCCGATGATCCATCACTTTTCTCCCACTCCACTGCCCACTTGTCCCCCCGTTTCAAGTGATCTGATCGGGCGTAACCTGACCCGACCCGGGTCGATCTTGCCCTTGCCTGGCACGAGTCCTCTTTGCTAACCCTTTCCGACCTGACCTGTAAGGTGAGACCCCCATACATGTACATTTCTGGGTTCTTCTCTCCAGGGTGGGTCTTCGTTGTGGTTGTGGTTTTCGGTGTCGTTTATTCTCTCGAAAAGTTTCAAGAGGGAGAAAGAGAAAGAGAAAGGGAGGACGATAAAGTAGAGAAGGGCGAGGGATCGAGAAACGAGAGGGAGGAATCGAACCCCCGAACCCAAGATCGAACCCGAAAAAAAAGAAAAGAAGGGAAAAAGATCCTTGGCCTTGGACAAGCTAGAGTAGAAAGCTCGACTCACCTGCCCCCCGAATTGATCACAAGGAAACCCAATGACGACCAACCCCTGGTCCTTGTACTCGGTGTGGAGGGCTTGGAGGGCTGTGTATTGGGGGGTGAAGCCGCTGTTTCGTGTTTTTTTCGGCACATCAGCGTTGGCAGGTGTTGTTGCGCGCCGTTATCGTCGTCGTCGGGAGTCGGAGGAGGAGGAGAAGTCGGGAGTAGGGAGTCGGACGTGGGGAGGTGGAGGTAGGAAGAGGAAGGCGGGTGTCGGGAGTTTTAAGAACAGGAGATGGAAGGAGAGGGTATAAGAGTCAGTATATTGTTTCTTTGAAATCGACTTGAATACGAGGTTTCGAGGTTTCCGAGCGCTGCCCGTTGCATCATACAGGACACCAAAGAAGGAGATCATGAGATCTACAGGGGACGGAAGGAGCGAAGAGACTCACCACTGCGACGCCGTGTTGACGATCAACACCACCTTCCCCCTACATTCTTCCATCTTCAAAACCTTCCCCCCCGACCCACTCCCGGGGAGGTCGGCTTCGAGGTCGTAGAATTTCTGAGAGGCGAGAGAGGCGGGGAGGTCTTCGTAGCCGAGTTTATTCCAGATCCAGCCTTGCGGTTGAGTTTGGGGTTGGGGTTCGGTGGAGGAGGAAGACATGATGGTAGGTGTGGTAGAGAAGAATGATCTGGAAGGACAAGCGAGGAGAGTAATGCGTGGGCGTGCGGGTGCGATGGAGAGATTACGGAAGATGTGAAGACGAGTTCGAAGAAGAGGTATCGACATGCAGATGCAAGGGGGGATGGGATGGAATGTGATCAGGGGGGGGGGGATATATGTTGTCGTCCTCGAGGTCGAGCTCGGTTGATATGATGCATGATCAATCCAGAAGGGCTAGTGCGGAAGCAAAAGTGAGGGCGATAGCCACCGAGGCACTCGTCTCTAGGCTGCCGGGAAGAACGATGACGGGTGGTTGGATGCCGGATAGCCGGTAAGGAACAGGAACGGGCGCCGAAGAAGGATGAGTCACGCAGAGTGTGATCACGTGACAGGGACAAGTGAGCTTATCAAAGAACACTCAATTTTTGTACCATGACGTGTTATCGTCCCATATAGGGGAGGACATTTGTTTGCTCACGTCATCATCCCAAGGGGGTTACATCCTCTCTAGCCTCTCTCTCGCTCTCTCGGTCTCTCAGCTCTTCTACTCTTAATTCTATAACTCTCGATCGATCGCTCCTCCCTTCTCCACCCACACGCCAACCACACCACACTATACCACATCAACCTCGGCACCGTAAACCCGACTTACTCGTACCCCACCACCCACTCGAACTCAAACTGGTGATCTCGATATACCTACCGGGAAACTACAAATACAAAACAAAATCATAATAACATGTCGACATGCCTCCTCGCTCGCCCGATACGCATTCTGAACCTACTCGACCTCCGGATCGCTACGGAGTCCCCGCTCAGATCAGTGAGAACCAGGCCGAGCAGACCACACCCGGGTCGATATGTTCGAGATCAAACCCAGAGGAAGAGGACGTTGTGGAATCTCAGCTGGTTCACGGGCGGGAGTTCGAGTTCGAGATCGAGTTCGAGTACGAATGCGAGTTCGAGTTCGAGTACGAGTTCGAGTGCAAAGAAGGACGATGGAACGGGTGGCGGTGATAGTGGGAGTGGGAGTGGTGGGAGAGATGGAGCTGTGATTACACCAGTGACCACACCGACGACCACATCAACATCAACATCGACACCTTTCACCTCGACCTCCTTACCTGACTCCCCTAATTCCGCCTCCTCTCCCATCACCACCGCCTCCTACGCTCCCACCACCTCTACCCCCGTCTCCTCCTCCTCCTCCTCCAACCCCCCTAATCCCGCCTCCACCCCCAACACCCCCAACACCCCCAAATCCCCCAAACCCTCCGCCACCTCCTCCTACTCCGACCTCGAAACCAAAGAAAAACTCGCCATCCAAGCCCTGCTAGACCGGGACGGTGGGTCCCTAGGGTTCGCGTTCGAAGACGGTGCGCCGGAGGGGGGGGCGAGGAAGGGGGTGAAGCGGGAGATGTTTCGGGTCATCTAGCTCTAGGCTTGTAGGGCGTGTAGGGCGTGTAGGATGGATTTAGGTTTAGAGCTGGGGTGTTTACGTCTAGAGCTGGGGCGTTTACGTCTAGGTTGAGCTGTCATCCGCAAAGGAAAGGGAGACGCAAGGCACGAGGGTGATGGGGAACCATCCGTAAACTTCGGACGTTTTGGGGATTTCGGGGGGGCGGGGGGGGGGGGAAGACGCTTGCTGTTCAGGCCGGGAGAGGTCGATGTCTTCAGGGTTAGCAGCGAGTCGGGTCAAGGGAGGTGTGAAGGACCAGAGAGGAGAGAAAGCGCATGGCATGGCAGGTCACGACAAGAGGGACGTCGCGTCACGTGGAGATGGGTTGATAGGAGACGCCTCACCGGAGAGCATCGAGAGGAAGAGGTCGTAGGGCAAAAAGATCGGAGCAAGAAGGGATCGCATCGGGAAGCATGGAAATTCGAAGGGGAAAGACGACCGCGAGTCCATGGAGGGTGTTTGAGGGCTGGCGTCTCGCCTGGGGTTCGGGAGGTCGTGGTCGGGACCGGGCATCAGGCTTCGCATCGTATGCTGCCTGTGCTGCGAGGCGAGGCGAGGCGAGGTGTAGCACGAAGCGCTGAGGACTAGCAAGCCAGCCGAAAGGGCTGAGAAATGGAGCGCGGGGGCATGGTGGATCGACTCGGACGTCAGGGTCGGGAACGAGCGCGACGACCGGGTAGAGGTTGTTAGGATTGACGTAGGGGCGGGGGCGATGACATCCACGGGGGGAGAGCTCTTTCAACGAAAGAGGGCTGCCTTGTTGCTCGAAAAGTACGCACTGTATCCACAGATTTTATGAACAAGTAGATGACGTTTTGACGAGGAATCGCGTTTTGTAAATGCGCCACGGGTTTTGGTCCCCGTTAGGTTTCTCAGGCTTGGCCCCCCCCACTGATGCCAAGGCGACGAGACTCGACACTGACCCAGAGATGCTCAGGCAGCCCACTCTGAACTCCTTGTTGGACGCCCAATACTAAATTTTTCCGCTATAAGGCTCCCCCTCAGAACAAGGCGGAAGATGCGCATGGTACATTTGTCGCAGCAACAGCACTCTGAACTCCTTGTTGGACGCCCAATACTAAATTTTTCCGCTATAGGGCTCCCCCTCAGAACAAGGCGGAAGATGCGCACAACACTTTTGTCGAGGCGCCAAGGTGACTTGGATCAGGTCGTTCGTACTTGTAGTCGACTATGTGTCTCGATACGGGACAGCGATTTTTCTCGTTGCAAGATGGCTTGCCTGCATTCCGTAGTTCCAGCCTTCAACTCCGGCGCTTAGGGGTTCTCGATGATGGGTGCAAGCGGTATCATTAAAGTGATGTAGCAATGTAAGCCAGCGACGAACGATCGTGTTATGTGGTCGCCTGGGTGTTGGGCTCGCTGTAAGCGGCGGGGAGGTCGTCATCGGCGTGATAGAGTGCGATAACCGTACGATGGACATGCAAGATCGAACTACAAGGACTCGAAGACAGGCTTGAATTGGATTATAAAGACGAAAATGCCCATGTACATGCGACCGAACGTTGTAATCTCGCTGACATAAACACGACTTGCCCGTACCATCTATACTCTTTTCACTTGTTATGGGTCTCATAGCTCAAACCTTGATCCACATCTCGTGCTCGTAACGCACCCCGTCCTCCTCGACGATACCCGGCTCGACCTGGAAACCGACATGTCCGCACAGCTCGGCGTGACTCGCTCGTCTCCATAGGGCCGGGTCGAGTTCCCGTATCGAATGAAAGTCTGGCAAGAACGCGTCGCAGTCGTCGTAAGTCGGGTCGAGGATCCTGGTGATGATGATTCGGTCGACGAGGTCGCGTGTGAGTGCTTCTTCGAACAGCCAGGCGCCGCCGACGACAAAGATCTTGGCGGGGGTCCATGGTATGCGGTCGAGCGCCGAGGTAATGCTGTTGACGACGGTTGAAGTGTCGGATCTGCGCAAATAAAACCCGCCGTTCGTCAGTGTCTGATCTTCATGATTCACCACCAGCGACGTACATGTTCCGCGCCGCCTGGTCACGACTGACGACGACGCTGCGTACATCTCCCCAATCGCTCGCTGTCGACCTCTTCCACTCGCCGTTGCTCATCATGACCGTATTCAAATCGCTCCTGTCACTCGTCTCTGGTCCGGTAATGACTACACAAAGCACGAACGTCAGCCGTATAGAGTTTTCCCGGATTTCTCCAGACACTGACCTCGATGGTGGAACTGTCCCAAACTCCGAGTCTGCCATGGCACTTTGCCCCTGCATCCGATCCCGTTACGAGGCGTTGCCGAGACCAAGATGGTGGACCGTGGTAGCGGACGGTTTCTTTGTGTTGGGTCGAGAAACAATGCCTGTGAGGCTGGCGGTTCTTGTTGAGGTGTCGGGAGGTGATCATCGATTTGCATTAGGTCGGCTTGAATCTGCGGCGGCGGTACTTGCTGATGCTGTTGCTGTTCTGGTATCGGCTACCGTCTCCGAGCGGATTGATCAGCGCAGCGTCACAAACTCGCCTTTGCCTGGTTCATCCAACCCACCTGTCGTCGCTGAGCGTCTACGGCCTGGGCCATGATCCTCGACCTCTCCCTCAATTCCGTCAACGCCAATTCGATCCTCGCCTCGTCACTCTGTCGGTGCGGATCGCCTTCTTTCGATCCGCCGGGTCCGTCGCTTTCCACCGTCTGACTCGTCGGGCCCACACCGTCACCCCGCACGTTGTCCTCCATGATGAACTCTCCCTGTTCATCGAGCACGCTCCGTCCAGCTCCTGTAGCCAACCTGGAGAGCGAGTGGACGACGCTCCTCAGGAACTGGTTCTCCATCTTCAACTCGTAGTTTTCCTGCCAAAGTCGTCGTCCATCGCGATCGGAAATCAACGCCTCGTCCCCTCGGTGTCTGTTTTCATATGCCGGTCGGTAGCAGACAACGGACAACTTACCAGCTCGACCTCCCTGACCCTCCTCAACCCGCCATCGATAGCCGAATGCAACCTCTCCATCTCCCTCGCCTTTTCCTCGAGCTCCTTCATCTTTTCTTCTCGACGCTTCCGGAAAGCTTGTTGGGCTTTGCGATTCTGTTCGGCGCGTTTCGATCGTCTGGCAGGAGCAGAGCGAGGAAATCGTGGGTCGATGTGAAAGCGGCAAACCAGGGAGATGAGACGTGTGTTGGACGAGGTCAGCTTGGGTTTCCACCGGTCGGCGCGGGAACAGCGATCTCTAGGAATTAACAACAACGAGACGAGGTGAAATGGGCGGTACTGACTTTCCATCCCGGCCCCCTCCGTGATCTTGATCCTGATCCTGACCCTGTTCATCCGTCCCCTCGGCCTCATCCCCACCGGACCCCATCCCACTGGCAGCGGCTCCGGTGGTACCTTCCTCTTGGACCCCAGCCACAGCTCCAGCATCAGCCTCGTTGATGGTGACCGCCTTTCGCTTCCTGCCCCTCTTGTTCCCACTCCCATGGGCGAGCCCGTCGCCGTCGGACTTGCTTGAGCCCGCTGCGGCTCCTGTCATAGATCCTGTTCCTGCTCCTGCAATCGCTCCTACTATCGACCTCGACCTCGACCTCTTCCCCTGCTCGGTCATACCAGGAAGATATCCCTCATTCTCATTCTGACTCTGACTTTGATCGTGATCTTGGTTCTGGTAAGTCAAGTACCCCTCCTGCAGACCCTGCGCTCGTAGACCGAGTAAGATGTTCATCCCCGGTGACATCCCCATTCCCATGCCCGTCCTCGACCCAGATGCAGAGGCTTCGGGTGTGATCGTGGTCATCTCTCCTCCTACACCCAGATTGGAGGTGACAGCTAGGTTCGGTACGGGCGGTAAAGACCCCAAGCTGGCGAGTGAGGAGAGGGTTATCAGGGCGTTGACGTTGGCGTCGTTGTTGTCGTTGTTGTTGTTGGCGGTCGTCGAGTCGAGGTTGAGGTCGTTGTCATTGTGGTTGTGGTCGAGGGAGACGAGATCGAGATCGGATTGAGGAATCTGAGATATCGGGTTCGGATTCAGGTCGTCTTCGTTGTTCTCGTTATCATTCCCACCCTGTTCCTGGTCTACTCGTAGAACGTCCACATTTCCCAGCCCCGATTCCAATTCCGATCCTGTTTCCGCTTGTGGGTAAACGTTCCGTCTAGCTTGTCGTGGCTGTTGTGCTTGCTGGTCGATACCTTGCTCAACCTGCTCATCCTGCTCATTCTGCTCATCCTCGACGATCTCGACGACCTCGAGTTCACCCATTTCACCCATATCGCCCATCTTATCCAGCTCTTCAACCCCGACCCCGACCCCGACCCCGATCGCGGCCTCGGCCACAGTATCCGCTTCGACGACCAAAGCCAGCCTCCTCAGATCTTCCTCTTGGACCTCTGACATCTTCCTTCTCTTCGAGCCTTCGTTCGTTCCTTTTGACTCTCCCTTGCGCTGTTTGTTGCTGGCGCTCTTGAGGGATGACGCTGTTGGGGGAGCTCGATTTCCTGCCGAGTTGGTGTATCAGGGGTAAAGGGGTGTTCAGTTGTAGGATCGGTGTAGGCTGGAGAGCCAGCTGAGGATAGCAGGTACAGGTCTTAGCTTCGTCCTTGATAGATTCCCAGCTTCAGAAGCTCGACAACTCTCGACGACGGCCTGGTCCTTTTATCTATCTGCTATCCGTAGAGGAGGAGGAGACTCGAAAGGTCACTACACTCCACCGGAACCGGAGGGTTTAGTAGTGATGGACGGGGGAAGTGTGTGGGTAGGGTCGTTAATTCAAGCAAGTTAATGGCCAGAGGTCTTGGCTGTTATCGCGACGAGGGTAGCTTGACCGCGAACATCAGCATACATTGCAACATATTTACGATATATTCACAAATAAGGCAAAACTGCCGGAAGCCGGAGATTGTTCCAGTGGCAGATGAATCGAGTTTACCAGACTGACAACGTACGAGCATATGTTTTTTTAAACAGTCTCGGGTTCGATCCGTGGGTCGCGATGTCGCCTTTTTGCCCTCCCCCGGAAACTGTCGTCCCTCTCTCTCATCGCCCTCGTCGCCGACGACGTTGATATCGACGGGTATTCTCCTTGTCGGTTCTCTCTCGCTCGTGCCACTCGGTAGATCATCTTAGATCGTATACCATCACGCTTTTTGCGCTTGTATTCGGGTCCCTTGCCTCGGTTCGCAGGGGATGAAATTACCGCATTCAGACGTTTGACATTTGCTGTGCAGAGACGTTTCTCGCCAAGCCCCCCGCGTGCCGGCAAGGAGGGTGAGTCCATGATCCATGACGAATGTGGTCAATCGTCTTGACGATATAACACTCTACTCACTCTGTACTCGCCACCCACCATCACAGCCATCATCCAAGGGACAGCCATATATTATAGGGTGTGGCAAAGGACTAGCTTTCATCTTCATCGGCATCGTCATAATCCAAACAGGGAAGCACCGTCAAACGCGAACACGACCACCGTCCTTTCATACCCGAGCTCCTGAGTCCAGCCACCTCCAGGCTAGGTCGATAAGATATACCTCAAGGACTCGGCTTTGCAATAATAATAATAATCGATTACCTTGATTCAACCTCGAAACCTCATAATCCACTCGGAATACCCTATCAAGCCTTCGAATAATCGTCATCAACAAACATGTCGTACCCGAACTATAATCAGCAATACCCTCAACAACCCGCTTACGGCGCTCCACCTCCTCCTCCTGTTCAGCAACAACAAGGGTATTACGGCTCCGGCCCCGCTTATCCGGTTCAACAGGGGTACGGGCACGGTGCGCCCCCTCTTCCTCCTCAGAACCAGTATCAAGGTGGTGGGTATGGACAACAGACGTACGGGCAACCTCAACAGGGTGCATACGATCAGCCTCCTCCTGCCCAACCTGCTCAGCCGTACGGTCAACCGGCTGGGAGTTACGGACAACCTGTTGGGAGCTATGGACAACCTCCGGTTTCGTACGGTCAGGCTTCGACTTCGGCGCCTTACGGGCAAGGTCCAGGACAACCTCCTCCAGCTGCTGTTTATGGGCAAGGACAACCTCCTGCTGCTGTTTACGGACAAGCTCAACCTCAACCTCCAGCTGCTGCTTACGGAGCACCTATGAACACGCCATATCAACCCAACCCCAACGCTCCCCCCGTCTTCCTAGGCGTGTCTATCCCCTCCCCGCCTCCCGCTCCCCCCATCTCCGCTAGCCAACTCCCCGGGTACTCAGCGACATTTGACGTCGACCGCCTAAGGAAGGCAACAAAGGGGTTTGGGACGGACGAAAAGACCCTGATCGATGTTCTGTGTAGGGTGGACGCGTGGCAAGTGGACTTGTTGGCGAGGACTTTTGAACAGACGGTAGGGAAGCCCTTGAAGAAGGTCTTGGAGAAGGAATTGTCGGGGTGGTTGGAGAACGGGATGGTTCTCGCCAGTCTGGGGCCGTTAGGCGGGGACGTCCACCTCTTACACCGGGCCATGGCGGGTGTAGGGACGCATGAGGATCTGTTGAACGAGGTCTTGTTGGGTCGATCGAATATGGAGATCCACTTATTGAAGGAAGCTTATCAACGGACGTACGGTAAAGACCTCACCCGGGCCGTCCAAGGTGAACTGAGCATGAAGACGGAGAGGATGTTCAACATGGCCCTCTCTGGCGCCCGGGACGAGTCACCGCAGGTGGACCACTCGCTGGTCCAAGCGGACGTGGAGAGGCTGCACGCGGCAGGGGCGGGCAAGATGGGGACGGACGAGATTGCCATCTGTGGGATCTTGATGCAGAGGAGCGAGGCGCATTTGAAGGCGCTGGCGGTCGCGTATCAGGGGAGGTATAGGAGGACGTTGAGTCAGGCGTGAGTACCCGAGTTTTTCGCCCGCGGTGTCCCCCGGCGTGTTTTCCCCGCGCTCGAAAGCCTCGAAACCTCGAAACCCGTCGACCTAGATCGGATACTGACTTTTGAGTTCTCATCACCCCCGGACACCCGGTAGCATGGCCTCGGAATTCTCGGGCCACATGAAAGACGCCCTGATCTACATCGCCCGGTACTCGGAAAACGACGGCCAAGGGATCCAACGCGACGCCGAACTGCTCGAAGCCGCCATGTCCGGTATGGGCACCAAGGACGAACGTCTGATCTGGCGGATCGTCAGGTTGCATTGGAACCGCCCGAGGTTCGAAGCCATCAAACAGGCTTATCAGGGGTTGTACGGCAAGAGCTTGAGGAAGAGGGTCGAGGGGGAGACGACGGGCAAGTACGAGGTGAGTCTCCTGGGCGTGAAGAAGGTCGGAATGTTTGCGAGGGAAAGAGACATCCTTGGCTGATCGACCGCTCGAACCCATCGCCAGCGCATGCTTGTCACCTTGATCGACGGGTGAATGTCATCTCGCCCGTTCTGTCTTCGTCTACAAGGATCGCTTTCCGTCCGTATCGATTTCCACAACTATCGCCGATCGCTCTTTTACCCCGAATGGCGGATGCTATATACCATTGTGATGATAATCGTCTTGTATACCTCGCCATGATTTAGTAAAGTGTGCTACACCTTGCTTATTTCCGGTCGTCGTACCTTCCTGCAACATAACATAAACAACGAGACTCGAAGCGCGTTTGTTTGATGGATTGACCCTATTCCTCACCTGTTACCCTGCCCGCTAGCGATATCTCCGCGCTCCTAGGCCAAAAGAAGGTGAACAATGCAAACGTTATTGGCATACCCGAACTCGAGCCGAGCCCGTTCAGATGAACAGGCACACTGCGCCAACAAGACGAATGTCGAACCGGTTGGCGCTCGACCTATTGCGATAAGACGGGGTTGATCGGGATACTCGGCTGTCAACACCTCTCGAGTCCTTCGGCGAACAAGAGCTTTTGCACCTTGTATCCAGCGATCGTATCGTTCCACATCCTACAAGTATCCACAAGACGCCCGAGCAAAGGAGCCTTGCGAGGACGATCTCGAAGTTGACCTCGACAGAGTTGGAGACTCTCGGCTTGTTCAAGATGAAGACGCTCGACCACAGCGTCAGAGCTCCCTACCCCGTAAATGTCGACGAGGACTTTATCCAGTCGATCGAGCACCGGTTGGGCGTCCACGAACCAGGTGAGGTAGTATCGTCTGACCGGGTCTTCGAATCCGGACTCGAGACCCTGGGGTTCGAGCATGGCCCCGCAGACGAGTTCCCTCTGAGCTTCTTTGGCTAGACAGAGCGAGATCTTCCAGGAAGGTTCGTCGTAGGAGACAAGTCGAGCGTGGGTACGTGAGATCAGGTGGTCCGAGTTGCAGAGGATGGTCCTGACTTGTTGCTCAGCTGAGGTGGAGGGAATTTCCTCTATCATCTCATAAGTACGGCCTTGATATGAACGACGGACGAGGGCGTTGAGACGACCCTGTACTTGCTCGTCCTGTAAGATCGCAGAGGTCTCGCCCAATCCCATCATTTCACATGCCGAGGTGAGACGAGCTGCGCTCCGGACGATTATGGCTCCAAGCGAGGGCAGGCCTTCAGGCTGAACGAGTCCGGACAAGGGCTCGACTTCGCCCCCGATGACGGGACGCTTCCTATCGGCCTGCGTAACACCGAAGAACGTGAAAGGCTCGATATCGTTGGCAGGACCATGATGGGGAGGTAAGGGATTACGACATCTTTCCGCTTGGGCTTCCCGGAACTGTAAAGGCAACGAGATCGAGTATCAGTAAGATGGAGCGTAACGGCCTGTTCGGGTTTGCCAGCCGATGCCTCACTCACTCTTCTCAGAGCCGGCGACGGTTCCAATCCCGCCAATAGCCTCTCTTGGCCAGCGCCCGAGTCGAGGCTTTGTCGGATCGTGATGACAGGCTCTCCTAAAGGAGGCTGGTTCCAGGGATCCGCATCACTGCTATCAGCCCACCCGCCGAAGACGTCCTGAAAGGATGGGCTGTTCGGCCCCGATGAAGGCATGTCGGGCTCAGGAGGTTCTAGCTGGCCGACATGCCCGTCGTTCAGGCGAACCACCCAAATATAGCCCAGCTCATGAGCCAGATCTAGCGAGGTCATCGTCGAGGCTTGCTGCTGATGTGGTCGTGATGCAGAGTCGAATCGAGTGAGGTAGATCCGCTCGGCGTCGACCTGTCTCGAGACGACCCGTCGAGTCGAGTGGCGGCCTTGTGATGAGACCGCTCTACATGCAAAATGGACAGGAACCCGACTATATGCTAGGTGCTGTGAGAACCGGGGTTGGCGTTATAGTCGAGTTGAGTGCGGAATGCGATATGGGAGTTGTATGAAATGCAACTTGATGATCGACTGGCGGTGGCGAATAACAAGAGGCAAGAGGATACATACGATTTTGCGCTTGGCTATACCGGGCCGTTTGTAGCAACGGTCGATTTCTGAAGAATAATCAAAATCGCTCGCGCGCGCGACACAATAACAACTTCGACCGAAGCACGGAGAATAAAGAGCCATTGGAGGTAAAAACTGGGGAAAACTAACTAGCTTTTGATACTGAGAACATCAAAAATAAAGATAATCTACCCTTGTACGGTCTGTAGCCTTTATCCCTGTTACCCCTAAGTTCCCTAGAAGTCGACAACTTGTACACTGTACTCCCTTCAGAAGCCTATTGCATCATTCACTACATCCAATAACACTATTCGCAATCACAATGGAAGAAGATCGTGCCCTTACACTCCTTCAAGCAGCGATAGCAAGCTACGTTGCTGACCTGCACACCCCCGTCGCTGCTTTCCTTGATCAATCTGCCGACCAACGAGACCCCAGCAACATACCGCTGCTCCTCCACAGTCTAGATGATCTTATATACTTTCTTACGCAGGAGGTCAAGGGCAAGTTGCCGATGCAGGAGTACAACAACCACCTCCAGGGTACCAGATCATACCGAGATCAGTTAGCGGCATGTCACCAGTCACTGCTGCATGGCCACACTCCTCACCAAGCAAGGCGGATCGTCCCTTCCGCTCGAGGCTGGTCGCTTGATGTCAATACCGTCCTACTACAACACCTAGACAAGAACGGTTTTACCGATGTTGAAATCGGGAAACATCTAGGATGCTCGCGATGGACCGTTCGACGAAGACGGGCAGCCCTGGGTTCACAACCGAAACGTCAACAGAAGCATCGCTACACAGAAGAGGATTTGATAGAAGTGAGTGATCAATATACATCGTTCGTACCGACCCGTATACAAAGGTTGAAGGGTGTTGCTGTTGTTGTTGCCCGTTGCAGCTGGTCCGCTACTACCTCCGCCAGAACGATCAGGTCATGGTGGTGTAGAAATCGCGTCTGCTTCCCAAGTCAATCAATTTACTAGCAATTGATATACAAAAGACTTTAGAGTTTTACATACCTGCTTCCCAAGTCAATCAATTTACTAGCAATTGATATACAAAAGACTTGGGAGCAGAAGTAGGTTTTTGAAGAGTAAAAGTAAGGAAAGTATACTATAGAAGTGATGTAGGGGCGAGAGTCGACGCGAGGGGGCGACGCGTATTTAACACCTTCACCCGATCGAATGTCCTTCACCGAAGAGGAAGCCGGTAATGTCGTAATAATGTCGTAAGAGTAAAGAGGAAGGACAGTAGATCGCACTGATTGCGTCGGTTCGTCGAGTCGTAAGTCGGTGGAGTAAGGACAGTCGGTGGTCGCGTTCTCGTACGCGCGTATATCTCATGCGGAGGTATCGAGTTTCATGTTCTCGATATGTCGATCGAACGTGCTGGTCGGAAGTTCTTTTGTAAAGGCGTCGGCGATGTTGTCGTTGGTATGGATGTAGGTCACCGCAAGTCGCTTCTCCTTGATCTTCTCGCGCACAAAGTGGTAGTGGGTATCGATGTGCTTGGATCTGTCGGAGATGATCGGGTTCCTCGCGAGGGAGATGGTGGACTTGTTGTCTTCCATGATCTCGATGACGGGGGCCTCTTCGGCGGGAGTCAAACTGCCGAACAGTTTGGACAGCCAGATGGCCTCCCTTGCGGCCGACGACAGCGCCATATACTCCGATTCCGTGGTCGACATAGAGACGCTTGTCTGCTTCTTCGATCGCCAAGAGATAGGTCCTCCATTCGCAACAAAGATCCACCCTGTCACCGAGTGTCTCTGTTCAGGGTCTGCGTTATAATCCGCGTCGGAGTATCCGAGAACAGGGGACGGCGTGGGTCCGTAGTGCATTCCGTAATGGATCGTTCCGGCCAAGTACCGCAGCAACCTCTTGACCGCTGTCCAATGCGATTGTTGAGGACTCGAGGAGAAACGGGCCAGGACGCCTACGGCATGAGCGACGTCGGGACGTGTACCTATCATAGCGTACATAACCGAACCGATGGCGCAGAGATAGATCGTCTTGTCGAATGGCTTCCCGCCGATGACGTAATCCTTGATGAGGTCCGGGCTATTGACCATCGGGGTGACCTTCTTGGCACTCTCCTTCATGTCGAAGCGTTCCAAGATTCTAGTCAGGTACCGAGTTTGGGTAACGTTCAGAATCTTTCTCGATCGGTCACGGGAAATTTCGAGTCCGAGAAAGGTAGCCGGTTCGCCTAGATGCGTCATCTCGAATTTGCTCTCCAGGAATTGGCGGACCGTTCTCGCGCTGTCTTCGTTGGCCGATGCGATGATGCAGTCATCGACGTATAACATCAGGAGAATCGCGAAGCCTTGGTGTTCACCGGTAAAGAGCGATGGGTCCGCTTCAGTAGGTACGAGGCCGACCTCGCTGAGAGTCTTCACAACCTTGTCGTGCCAGCATTTCGGAGATTGCTTTAGGCCGTAGAGAGACTTTCTCATTCTCCAAACGTACCCGTCTCCGCGTTCCTCATAACCTTCTGGTTGTTCCATGTAGATTTCCTCTTCGAGATCCCCGTTGAGGAAGGCGGTCTTCACATCCATCTGCGTCATAAACCAGTCATGTGCCGCGACGTGGCTTAGAACAGCCCGAATTGTAGGCATGCGAAGGGTCGGAGCATACGTCTCTTTGTAATCCAGACCCTCGACTTGGGAGAATCCTCTCGCGACCAATCGGGCCTTCTTTCGGCCGTCTTCTTTCTCTCGAAGAACAAATCGGCAAGATACCACGTTTCCCTTAGGGCGTTTGACGAGCTCGTAAACTTGACATTTCTTCATGGCTGCGATCTCTTCATCCATGGCGAGTCGCCAGCCTTTCTCCTCCGGATTGGGTGGTTCGTCCGAAGTAATGTGCTCGGCCGCGATCGAACACCACTGGTGGATGTCCCACGCCTCTGGTTCAATCTTGGCCAGACCGCTGCGTACGAAGTCTTGTAGACGATTTGGCAACTTCTTGGTCCTGACTGGACGCTGAGTACTGTTGCCGCTGTCTGCCGATAGGTCTCCGCTTGAGGAGGGAGTTATACCGGTGGTGTCGGAACCAGACGTCTCGGTCGCTGTGGTACGTTCATCCGCCGGCGGTGCAGCTGAGTCGGTCTTTTCGTTCTCGCTGCCTTGTGGATCCGAATTGTCGGTGGCTGCGTCGTCAACTCGAGACTGTGGATCGATGTCTTTAGGACGCGATGTTGCGAATACGCAATCGTAGTTGCGTACCTTCACCACTTTCTTGTCCTCTAGACTCCAAATGTAGTAAGATCGAAAGTCATTCGAGTACCCTACCATCACTCCTTTCTTGGCCTTCATGTCCAGCTTCTGTCGAAGTGCCTTAGGTACGTGAAAGTAGAGTTGTGATCCGAACGGTCTCATGTGTTTATAAGACGGCTTTTCTCCGAACCATAGCTCGTGAGGCGTAGCGAGTTGTACGGCGGAAGTTGGTAGTCGATTTCGAGTGTCGACGATGTACTGTGCCGCGTGTCCCCACCATCCCTTCGTGAGTTTGGCTGCGTCGATGCTGGTTCGAACTCCGTCCAGGATGGTGCGATTCATCCGTTCCGCTACGCCATTCATTTGCGACGTATGAGGGGCCGAAGTGCGGATTTGAATTCCTCGCCCCTCGCAGTACTGTTTGAAGGCGTCTCCGATGTATTCACCGCCATTGTCGGTGTTGAGTTCCTTGATTTTGTGGTTCGGATGACGTGCTTTGGCCATTTCAACAAAGCTTTGAAAACAACCGAGAACTTCGCTTTTGTACCTGAGGAAATAGATGTGTGTGTATCGAGTGTAATCGTCGATGAATGTCACGAAGTAGGATTTTCCGGTTTGGATGCTCTGAGTTTCCATAGGACCACAGACGTCGGAATGAATCCGTTCCAAGGGAGCGACGGCGCGTTTGACTGCATGGTTGAAGGGCGACCTTGGGAGCTTTCCGGCAACGCAGTGGTCACAAAGGAATTCGTCTTTGGAATCCGTTACCTCGAAGTCAACAGCGAGTTGCTCTTTGGAAGCTCTGCGAATGCTATCGAGTCCGACGTGGCCTAGCCGAGCGTGCCATTCCGTGATGGGCAGCGCTGTGTTTGCTTTCAGTGCCATTTGAGTAATCCGCGAGTGAACGTTCAGAAGGAACAATCCGCCCTTAAGCGATCCGGTTCCGATGAGCTTCTCGTTTCTCGTGATCTCGACCATCATGGTTTTGCTGCGAATGGCTACGTCGATGCCGGCTTTCGTCAGGGTGGGTACCGATATGAGGTTCAGAGCGATGTTAGGGACGTGGAGGCAGTTTTGGAAAACCACTACCCGTACGCCTCCATCTACCTTGCATAGTAAAGGTACATCTCCATACCCAACCGCTTGTATGACCCGATTGTCCCCCAGGTGGATGGGTATGTTGGCAAGGTTGTACGTTCTGAACCATCCCCGCTGCTGGATCATGTGCGAGGATGCACCCGAGTCGATAGCGATATCGTTGCATTGGCCTGCAGTACTCAGGAAGGCGTGTTCACCGGTCTTCGTCTCCGTGCTCGCCGACTGTTGTCCCAGAGTGCCAGTCACGACCATGATTTTGGCGTGGTGTTTGGGAAAGCCTGTGGGAGGCGGCGACCTTATCACTTCTTCGGTGAACGACGGGTATCTGTCGTGGCTACCGAACGCTGCTCCTGCGAATTGTCTGTCCAGACGAACTTCCTCTTCGGGATCCGATTCAGCATGTGCATACCTCGCATGCTGTTGCTGTAGACTTTGCGAGCGGTCGTTGCTGCCTTGGCGATCGGGTCGGGGTCTCAATTCGCCGGTGCAATCCTTCGAGTAGTGTCCTTTCCCTTGACAACGGTAGCAGGTAACCGTACTGATGTCTCGAGGAGGAGGTCTTCTGCCGCCTGAACCGCGCCTGAAGTTGTTGGGAGCTCGACGTTGTTGGGCCATGAGCACTTGCGTCTCAACGACCCTTCCTTGTTGTTCTCGTCGAGTGTCTTCGGCAAGAAGCTGGCTGTACAGCCATTCGAGAGAACGACATCCGGGATTGGCACTCATCAGGGGCGATAGAGTCATGATGGATGGAGCCCAGGATGGAGGGAGCGATGCGAGGAAGATTTCGATCATGTCGGATTCGGTCATCTTTCCACCAGCACGAAGGAGTCGGGTCCATTTGGACCTCATGGTTGTATAGTGGTCTTCGACTCGTTGTTCCTCGCTCATCTTGGTGTTCTCGAGATCCTTTCGGTAGAAGACTACGATCGCATCGCCGCTGGGACGGTATGCGGCCTTGAGAGCTTCGAGCTTGCCCTTCGCACTCGAGATGTCGGCGATGAGAGGAGCTACCGGTGCCGTACAGGCGAGGTCGATGATGGCGCATGCCTTTGCGTTCTTGACCATCCATTCTCGCTGGATCTTTTGTTCGGCAACGGTGAGAGGTTTCTCTCGTAGCACCTTGATTCCCTCGATGACGGTAGTCGAGAAGTCGGGTGGAGCTTCGAACAGGTCTCCGTCCTCTCCACTGATCCACCATAGGTCCTTGAGAATCAAATCGGCTTTGATTCCATTCCACCAGCTCTCGAAGTTCGAAGATCCGGCTAATCGCTCGTAGCGGGGTTCGTCTTTACGATCCATGTTTGGTATCGTCGTCGTGGGTATTCGTTTGTGATCGTTTACGGTTCCGTGTCGTAAGATGTCGATTGTGATGTATATTCGTGAAGGGAAGCGTTTTTCTTTCGGACGAGTAATCGAGGTGGCTACACTGCTTGTTTCTAATGCATGTAGCCGTTTGTCGGTAAGGTGTAGTCTTTGTTCGTTCGTCGATCGTCGGTGGGTGGTCGAAGTCGTTACTTTCGTCCACGCTGTACCGGAGCCGCTACCATGTAGAAATCGCGTCTGCTTCCCAAGTCAATCAATTTACTAGCAATTGATATACAAAAGACTTTAGAGTTTTACATACCTGCTTCCCAAGTCAATCAATTTACTAGCAATTGATATACAAAAGACTTGGGAGCAGAAGTAGGTTTTTGAAGAGTAAAAGTAAGGAAAGTATACTATAGAAGTGATGTAGGGGCGAGAGTCGACGCGAGGGGGCGACGCGTATTTAACAGGTGGGCTATCGTACCGTTCTCGGTTGGCTTCAAGGACAGGGTGTAACAGTTACCAGGAAGCAGGTTCGGATACTCCTCCAAGAGCTTGATCCCGGTGCTCACCGGCTACGTCGGGCGGTAGTTCGTCAGCGAAGGGTTTACAAGGTTCCCTTCCCCAACTCGCTATGGCATATCGACGGCCAACATAAACTCATTCGCTGGAAATTTGTGATACACGGTGGAATCGATGGCTACAGCCGAGTCTGTGTGTTCATGGCTGCCAGCGACAACAACAGGGCGGAGACGGTGGAGAGGTCGTTCCTTGAAGCAGCGGAGAGATGGGGATGGCCTCAATGGGTCAGGGTGGATTACGGAAAGGAGAACAACGGGATCTGGGAACAAATGGTCGCTATTCGTCGTAAGTGGTATACATACAAGCCTTGCAACGTATGATACTGATCCCTAGGTAACAGATACTGTGAAGGCTCCCTTCATCCGTGGAAAGTCTACGAGTAACACCCCCATCGAGCGGCACTGGAAGACTATAGGCGAACGCTTTACCCAGAAGTATGCCCGGACCTTTGCACAACTGGAAGAACAACACGATCTTGATGTTGACGAGCCAGTCGATATCTTCTGCCTGCACTATTGCTTCCTTCCTCTTATCAACTGGACAATCTCCACCCATATCGTTGCCCACAACAGCCACGGCAGCACAACCAAGGGTGAACGAGGGTGGAGTCCCTACAAGAAGTGGCTGGACGGGAATCTCAAAGCTCAAGCGAGGGGGATGGACCTTGACCTTTTCCCCAACGACGCAGTCATTGACGACGAAGGTGTGATCGACGAATGTTTGTCGGGTGATGAAGAAGACGTAGAGCCAGGTCGGCCTACTACGAAAGTGACAACTTGGCCTTCGGAACAACAACGGGAGGACCAGAACCGACCGGCGCAAGATACAGACCCTTATGTGCAAGTTGAGCGATATCACGAGATGTTACCCCCTCTACTACAGGACGAGGGGTTCCGAAAGGCCTTGGCGGAAGCGTTTCCCATACAAACATCGCACGAACTTGATGAGGGTGAAGATGGGTTGTTTGACACCTTACGCTACCTTGCTGTTCGACAGTGGGTGTATGATTCTGATTGATCAAACCCAGGCTTCGCTCTGCCTAGTACACCCTGAATGTGTTGTAGTATACTGCTATATCGATAGTTCTAGCATATTCTTCGCCTGCGCTGATTGGCCGATCAAACAAGGAACCCAAAGGAAGGTTGTCGTTTGTTGTTTGTTCTTTGTTCTTCGATGACGCTCTCTGGCCTGGTAGGCCTGGTAGGCTAGGAAGGCTAGCAGCGTAGGCCAGCAGGCCAGCTACCGTATATACTTGTTGTTGATCAAGAACGTCGAATCCTTCATCTTTACTTGCAATCACGTTCAGCTTCATTTACTTACCTTGATCAACTTCGATCATATCCCATCACTCATGACGAACGGCGAGAAACCAGCATCCCGGAGTATCACCCCGGAACCGGTGGGCCTTCCTATGCCCCCGGAGGGAATGCGTAAGCAGTTGTATACCTTTGAGTATCAAATTGTCCTAACTGTTCTTCTCCTTTCTAGCGTTGGAAACCTGGTTGCTGACGCAGCCACAAGAAACTAAGCTGCTGTACTTTCAGCGGCTGGGAAGTAAGTCTTTGCATCGGACAAGATGATTATATCCCGATCATGACTTACTGATATATCATAACAACAGATGTCTTCGCCCAGGACCAGGCGAAGGAAGCGGAGAGGCTACGGAAGGAGGCCGAAGAAGCCCAGAGGAAGGAGGATGAGAGGTTGGCGATCCTGGTATGTAGCCTCGCTATCCTATTCACTCTCGGATACTCACTCGTACGTTCGATATTCTTGATAGCGGGAGAGGATTGACAGCCTCATCGCAAACCCTGAGAGCCGGGGGATGATCAGGGAGGCTCTCAAAAGGTTCGACGCAGGTGAGTAGCTTGTCAGAGTTCTTCGGGGTTGGCACATACTGATGATCGGATATGATGTCGTACAGCGAACCCTCGCCGACCCGTCCCCCCCCCGCCCCACCCCCCCCACCCCTCAGCCGACCCCTGCCGTCGACACCACCCCTGCTCAGGGCCAGATAGAGCAGATAGCGGCTCTCTCCGCTCAAATGGCAAGCTTCATCCCGATGATGAAAGCCTTGCAGGCTTCGGGAGGAGCAAGTGGGAGTGGTGAGGCGAGTGGAAGTGGTACGGGCAAGGGGAAGAAGAGATCCCGTGCGCCGGTCGAGGAGGAGGAGGAGGACGAGGTTGAGGTGACCGGGACGGGTTTCACCTCTCCCGCCAAGCGTCGGTCGATGCGGGGAGTGAAGAGGGGGGACGTGTTCGAACTCCCGGAGACCCAGCCGGCGTGGATGACGGCTGATACCTGGCAGCGAGCGGTGGTAAGTCGAATAGGATTTACCTCAACCATATCACCTTGACAGGTTACTTACGTTTTGTGTTTGTGTATACGCCTACAACAGGATGCCGAGGCCCTCCTCATAAGGGAGGATTCCATCCAGTTGATGGGTGATGCCATGTGCAACTGCTGCACTGGCAAGACCAAGCCCGGGAAGCAGACGACCCCTCTCGGGAAGCAGATGGACGTGCGGTACAACGTCTGCGTGGTGGTCCCCGACCAGCCGGGACATTGCGTGAGGTGTATCTGGAGGTGGAGAGATGGCGAGTGCTGCTTCACTCAGAAGCCTTTCAGCTCGGGAAATGCGAAGTCGGTCAAGGAGAAGAAGCCGACCAACCTCGACCTGGCCCGAGCCGCCGCCGCCTCCACCGCCCCCGCCGAGCCCCCGGTCTCGCCCGACTCGACCAGCAGCAACACCGCTGCCAACGCTCCCAACCCCTGGGCAGGGTGGGGGTTCCCCCCTGGGCCTTACGGCTACAACCCGTACGGTTTTGGAGCGGGGAACTTTGGGCGTCCTCCCGGTCCCGGTGCTGGTTAGATGTGGTGTTTGTATTCGATTTTGTTATCTTCTTTTTAATACCATATCATTTTACGAGTTGTCATGAAGCTAGACTAAGGTACACGTTTGGGAGCCTGAACAACTCTAGTCGTACGTCGTGGCGGACCTGTGAATACTGGCTTAGCCTTACGAGCTCGCTTTACAGGTCGTCCGTCTCCGATGTCAAGTTTTCCAGGTTCGTTGTTCTCCTCAGACGCAGCAGGTACAACCCCTCCCTCAGCCTCCGGTGATTCTTGTGCTGTTAAGGTAGTCTCAAGGGGATCAGAGAGCTCGGCCGGTCGTTTCACCCTGAACACAATTCGAGGGACAGGGATCTTGATGGCGTCTGGGTTGTTTCTGGGAGGGCTAGAGCGGGCAGTGACCTGACTGGCAGAATCGTGGGGACCAACCGTGTCGTTCGATGTATCTCCGACCATCGACGAGGATCTTCTTAACCGCCGTCTCGTCTGGAATACATCATCGATGATGCGTCTGAAATGACTAGCACCCCATGCTTCCAGCTGGGTCTGACATAGCGCCATGAATTTGTCCTCGGGCATGATGGGTTTGAGATCTGCTGACGACGAGGGGATAGAGGATTTGCTGGGGGTGACCTGATGGGGTACCGGCGACGGAGGGGGATTGACGAGGGTACTGCCAGTATCTGTGTGTGGACTTGAGCTATTGAAGTCTTCAAAGTTGTACGCAATACACTCACGCAGGATAGGATCAACTACACCAGCGATCTCGGGAACCGTAACAACCTGCTCATCCTCCGTGCCACTCCAGTTGATAAAGTTGTCTTCCAGCTGGTTAACAATCCCGTCCATCCGATCCTCTTCTTCACCGTCTGCTTCATCTGCCGTTTGGGTCTCTTCCTCTTCAACCATATGTTCATCCCGGTAACCCGGGCAAGTGTTCCAGTGGGGAACCATTCGCTCAGCAGGGAGCACCAGGTTACAGTGCTTGCATTCCTGCATACCATCACTTTCCTGAACGACATCCTCGGCTACATCCTCCAACTCCACTACCGATGCAGCCCGCTGTTTTCCTTTGCCTTTCTTGGAGGTATTGGAGATGTGTTCCCATGTGAGAGGGTCACGGTGTATCGCCAGGGCTAGATCGGCTCGGAAGTGCTGGTTGTCGTGGATCTCCAGTGGCCATGTTTGGGGAAATACGAAGGCGATATTGCTACCCTTAAACTCCGTCTTCAACTTGGAAAGGTTCGTTTGCCATGGGTTCCAGACGTAATGAGGATGGAAGATGTGTGAACTGCCGGAGAGTTTCGCCCACGACCATACAGCTGGGAATGGGATGGGGAGTCTTGGGCTACGTTGGAACGTCTTCTCGATATGTGCCGCTATATCTTGTGTCGACATGTTGTCTTCAAGTTGAAACGTCCGCATATAGCCTTGTATCTCCAGGAATTCGATCAAAGGTGCCCATCGTGTCTTGCCCGGGGCGGTGATAGCAAGTTGGTTCCTTATCAGAGACCCACACGGGATGTAAGCAACCTGAATCGCTGTCGTCAGTGTTATGTAGGGGAGCTGGGGTCAGGGGGAGCCTTGCGGGGGTTAAACTTACCTTGCCGGTTGAGACAATGCTAACAGGCCTACCGATCTTGTTCGGTTTCTTCTGCTGTCTTTGCAACGGATGTCCCCTGACTTGAATCCTCCCACCTGCATGATGATGAATGGATCCAACGCCAGAATGATTCGGTACACTCTCCCGACCATATGGTACCCCATGCTGAGCATCTAACATTGCCCTAATGTCACGGGGACCTTGCACGGGTGATTGCAAATAGGGTTGGCTGCTGGACGACGTGGATGCATGTTGGCTCGAATACGAAGATACAGCAGCAGGCGGAGCAATATAGGGTGGTGGGATGGAGACGATGGTTGCCGATGGAGGAGGAGCAGGAGCAGGAGGTGGGTTTGGGGGAGGTGCAGATGTCGCCGGTTGAGAGAGAAAGAAACCTGCCATATGTTCAAACAATCGCTTCTGAGTGGCTTCATCGAGGTTGGCGAGGGGGTTCATTTTTGCTATGTTAAGACGGTAGAGGAACGTAGTGACGATAAGATGCAGATAGGCTATCAAGATAGACTTCAAAGTCGATAGTACAGGGTACATAGGCTACATAGGCTTACAGGCCTGACAGGGTAGGGACCGTACAAGGGTAGATTATCTTTGTTTTTGATGTTCTCAGTATCAAAAGCTAGTTAGTTTTCCCCAGTTTTTACCTCCAATGGCTTATTATTCTCCATGCTTCGCGTCGAGGAAGCGTTATTCTCCACGAAAACGCGTTGCTACAAAGGGCGCTCTATACTTGGCGCTCAAGAAGGAAGGTCCAACTTGCGTCCATCCTTGAGGAGGGCTCAAGTTCGACAGTGAGCGAGCTCAAAACTATAAGATTGATTTGATATACATATAGACATATAAATCGCCCCCGAAACGACCACGATAAAGTGCCGGCCAGCCATATACAACCTTCCTTTCGAAACGAATCGCCACTATGGTATTGTCGTCTTGAACCTGCCGCGGTTTCACGTCGCCACGGCAGCCATCTCCCCTACCATCGACATGCCCAACCACCGTTTCTTGGCCTCGAGCGAAAGGTGATCCTGTGCGAGCAAATAAGAGAGCTTGACAAAGGCGCATTCGGGCGTCATGTCGTTGCCCGCTACCACGCCGATCTCGTTGAGGACTACGCCGGTGATATCTATCAGGAGTTCGGAGAGAGGAGATTAGCGAGCTGTATGGCAGCGCGAGGTGTAACCTGGCAGACTTACAGAGTGGGAGGACCTTGCCCCGAGCACATTGAGACACGTTGACCACGATCTAAAAGCGTCGCCTACATCGTAAACCACACCTCACATCGAGTCGCCTCATGGAGGAACCTACCAGACCCTGCTTGATAGCCTCCTTGAGGACATCCAACATCTCTTGTACGATGGGGAAATTTCCAGCGCCATAAGTGTACATGACCACCCCCTTGGTCTCCGGGTCGCTCAACATCAACTTCAACTGCCTCGTCGTCATCCCCGGCCAGATGTGCAGGATGATGACCTGGCTGGACATGGCGGCTACGGCGTTCATGAGTACGCTCTTGCTATCCGAGGGCGCGTCGGGGCGTTGGTAGCTGTGTTCGACGTCGGCTGCCGGGCGTTCCAAATACGATCAGGCGTTCGTAAACATGAGTGTGTGTGATATGAGGTGAGACCGTCTCCGTCTCGAATTTGACTCACCGATTAAGAGCGGCTTCATGAGCGGACTATCGAACGCGTCGACCTCGAAGCTAGAGACCTTTCTCGTCCTACACCCTCTCATGAGCTTGCGGTTGAAAAAGATGCAGACCTCTGCAAGAATCATCGGCCATACAATACAACAGCGCAGCTTGTCAGTTCAGACTTAATGATGATCCCCCGGGTGCATAGATTTACGAAGGAGAAGAGCGACCCCCCGACTCACCTGGCAGATCCTTCATACCCGCGCTCAACAACGCTCCCCGGAAATTGTTCGTCGCGTCGCTGGAATACTCGCACAACGGGATCTGAGCTCCGGTGAGGACGACCGGTTTAGGTAGGTCCGCCAGGAGGAAAGCCAGGGCGGATGCGGTATAGGCCATCGTGTCTAGTTGTGGAAAAAGAGGACCGAGGTTGAGGCATGACGATATCAGACAAGGTGAGGTCAGCACGGCGAGCGAGTCATCGAGATCGTCAGAGGATATTAGAGGGGAACGCGGAACGTACCGGTCCCGTGAAGTACGACGAACCCATCGAAATGCCCCGCCGAGTTCCTGATATCGTTGGCGATCCTCATCCAGGCGGCCGGGTCGATACTGGATGAACCGACCAGCGGGTCGTCTGACGTTTTTCGGGCGAGGTCGAGGTCGAGTATAAGTTCTAGTCAGTGTTCAGACGATATAGCAAAGTGGCTGAAGGAGATCTGTTTGCTCACACTACAACGAAGTAGATCAGAATCAGCGACGGTAAATCACCTCACACGACACGACGTCCAAAAAAGCGAGCGACGAAAACCGAGACTATAAAAATAAGACTCACCTCCCGGATAGTATACCTGATCTTCTTCATCTCCCCTCCGAACCGAAAGACCGGCGTGATCAACGTCTTCTCGTCCGGCGTCTCGAACCCTGTCAACACGCTCTGTTCCTCATCTCCTTTACCCGGGTTGGGCAGTTGTTCGGATCCTAGCCAGGCGTTGTAGACGGCCTGGGAGTGGGCGTGGGAGGCTACGGTACCCGCGTTGGGGTCGTTGAAAGCGGATTGGGAACGTAGCCAGTCCTAGTCGTCAAAAGGTCACGAATTGACAAGAGTGAGCAATCGAATCAGGGATCCGACTGGTATATCATTTTCATGATTCGCCCGATGATGCTGCTCACGCTCAAAAACCCAGGCTGGACTGTCAGCCCTCTCTCGGTATTAAGACATCCGATAGTCCCGCCGGTGTAGAGGACGAGGATCTTGCTCTGAGAGACCGTCATGTTGGGTCGCTGCATCGTAAAGTCTTCAGTTCAAGGTTATCGGTCTTGTGATTGTGCAAGAGGTCTTGTTGCGGATCGTGCGTTTTCGGTTCGATTCTTCCCGCGATTTCGGTTCTGATTCCTTATGAATCTCTTGTTCGGCGATTTTGTACCAGCTGATCAGACTTTTCTTCGGACCTCTTGCCAAGTCGGATGTCGAATCTTACGTCGACCTGCTCGTCGAAAATGGGAAAATGTCGTTCGAATATGGGAAATCAAACCAACGCTTTCGCTTTCGTCCGAGGGGAATTTGGTTGGTTCCGAGCGATGAGGTAATTGCTTCCGAGCCTTGTGTCAGACGAGGTTGAGGTATGATCTATCTCTCTATCATCCTTTTATCTTTCGGATGCCGTGAATACTGTCGCTTTCAGGCCGGCCTTGTATCCCTGTATCTGAGCCGCGCATCGGTTTCAAGGATCTCTTGCTGAGCCGATATCATCTATATTCGGCGCTGAGAGTTCGAATGAGTATAGGCGCTTCGGGCGCGTAATCAAGCCCAATTCTCGCTATTGCCACTGTGGTAGCATTGTCGGCCGATACGTAGCACTACGTCTGACGTAGCAGAAATGTCATCCTCGAATTCCTATATTCTATGGAAAGCTACAAGCCTCCGGTCCTCGAACATTGACCTCCCACGCAGTCTCGTCGTACATGATATGTGTTCCGTCTAGAGTCTGGAAATAGGGAAACCGATGATAGGTCCCAGACTGGGGGACCAACCCAAAGTATACCCTACCGCCTCGCGTCTCGGCCGAGCTCAGAAATAACCTTATTGACCTCATAAAGATAGCAAAATTCGCTGGTGCGAACCCCACACCGGAAGGAGAGCTCAATTGTGACTTCAAATCCAGGATGGACAGGGATGTTCCCTAATTCCCTAATCCATACGACGAAGCGGAAAGATCATCTCATCGGAAAGGACGGGCTGGATGAAATCATCGAAGTAGCGGGGGAACCAGATACTGTGGCGAGATGAGGTGCTTTTCGAGGTTGATGCCTTTCGTCAACTCAGATCCAGCCTAGCTGCTGGAATATATGGGCGTCTGTCCGTCGGTACAGCCGGGTTTGGCTAGATGATCCACCCTGAATGCAAACATGTCTTGTCTTCCTTCGCGATCGATGGGTTAATACAGCCCATACTGGCGGACATACCTTGTCGTGTTCGAGAACGAGAAAGATGTAGATACCTCTTTGCATCGGATGCTCGTGAACGGCCCGATTGACCCATCTCGTTTCGCATCGACATAAATCATGGAAATTGATCAGATTATACGGTACGGTGTGCAGAGTTACAACGGTAGTAACAACCTATTTTTCTTTCGATGATGCGATTTCTCAATACGATGTCCTAATTACACTCCGCGCGCTTCTACCCTTTGACTTTATGATCGATTTCGCTTTCCAGGTTAGGGATCGCCCGACTTGGGATTCTGGTCAACTCGATCGCGGACGCAGGATCCGATAGGGCCAGAGACCTCTCTTCCTGCCGCCTCGGTTGATTTGCATTTGTAGGGGAGAGGAAGCTGCGCAAGATATTGGCGAGCTTGGTGATGGAAGATGACTCGCACGAAGCGAAGAGCAGTCCAACCGCCGCGCTACTCGCCATACTAGCTGCTACCAGCGAGACGAGTCCGGGGGAGCCAGCAGATCCCCAGCGTAGGTGGTGCTCGGGAGTCGAATTTGATTCGCGGTACAAGGCGGACCCGATCGTAGGCCCGATGACGGCTCCTAGACCTCGGGCGAATGAGAATCCTGTGCAAGGTCGTGACGCAGACAGCGGCGCATTCGTCAGTCGACTTTATAAGGGCCAAGGTATTTGAGGCTTCACACTGCACTGCACTGTACTGACCCGAAACGAGCATCGTCTGCTGTTCCTTGTCGTGTCCGACGATCGAACATGCGCTCTGCGACCACATCGAAGAGAACCCTCCGCTTGCGATCCCGAAGAGCACGGCAAAGGGAACGAGCAGAGCGATCCCGTGTGATCCTCCGAACCCCCAAAGCGTGAGGACGAGGCAGCTGCCGAGGGCTGAACTGAGCGCCATCGCCATCGCCGGACGCATCCTCTACGATTGGGAAAAAAAGACAGCTGAGAGTCAGGTACCCATCGATGTCAAAATCCCGGTCGCACGGCCCCTGCTCACATCGGTCAAGAATCCCCACAAGATCTGGGCGATGATACAGCTGACATTGAATGCCGATAGGAGTCCCGCTCCTGCCGTACTACTTAGCGAATCCGAGAATCGAGGGATGAACAACCCGACGTTGCTGGTGGTCACAGAGGCGAGTCATGTCGTTCTTTTCATAAGCGACACTGTCCTCTTGAGAACTAGGCTGAGAACAAGAGCTAAGGAAACTCACAAGAACCCGAAACCCTGTAAGAGCGTCGCCAAGAGACACCCGAAAAACCCCGGATGCCAGAACGTCCCTCTCAGGTTGGGCATCGGTGCGGGCGTCACGTTCCTCGTCGCGGGGATGGGAACCCTCGGGTTGAGGAAACAGATCGCCGTGCCCTGTGTCAAGACCAGACACGAGCATCCAGTCTTTCATTTCAGCTGACTTGTGCCTCGAGACGGAAAGAATATGATATGTTGCCATGGAACCGAGACTCACGCCTAGGACCGCCGTCGTCAACGCGCTCGTCCTCAACGTCCAAGCGAGGCCGATCCGATCCAGAAGGTATTGGTTGAGAATAGGCATATACTACCGATGACGCAGAATTGTCAGCTCAGCTCATCTCCCTTTGCATCATCCAAGGGACTCACCGCTCCTCCGACACCTCCGCCGGAGAATATCACGCCTGCCGCTAATCCTTTGCGTTTATCGAACCACCTAAGCGTAGACGGACGAGTTGATATCGTAAGCATCGTCATTGAGCCAGTCCTGTCTCGCCGAACGAGCACTATTTGAACTCACTCGGGTAGCCATCGGATGACGGGAAACGCACAAAGCGCCCCGGCCAGTCCCGGTCCGACACCTTGCAAGACGATCAGCGCGTCCACGCTTTGAGCCCAGCTGGCCCCGAGCATACAAGCGACATAGACGGCGAGGCCGGTCCAGACGGTCGATTTGATGATGCGTGGATGGCGGTTGTAGAGGTAGATCAGGGGGATGCCGGCGCCGTCTACAGGAAGAGGATGTCGAGGATCCAAAGTCAGAGAGGGAGACAGCGATGGAGGTAGGTACAAAGATAGCAGGTGAAGATTCTTCTGCGTTAGTACGACTCTACTTCCGAGATGGCGATTCGCCGTGTTCTATTTCCCTGCGCCTCGACTTACAGCCGATGAACAGAGAGGTGGTACCAATGAGCGAGATCTTGGTCTCGGACGAGCGTGAGAATGGCTGGGTGATCGAAAGGGGAGCCATGCAGATCAGTTGCGGCGCATGACTCTCCCAGCACCGGGTGATGAGCCTACCTCGTTGGCCGCATAATACTTGAGAAAGACCCCGGTTGAGAAGAGACCTCCCCACAGCAGCGTCTCTATGGCGAATCCGGCGGTGACGAAGGACCAGGCTTGTCTACCCCTATCTGTCGGTGGAAGCGGCGTGACTTCGCGCTCGGCGGGTTCGCTCGGGGCGCTTTCGATCATGATGAGAGGCAAAACCTATATCGCTCTTCCCATGCGTTGTATGACATGTTTGAGGTTGGAAGCTTGGAAGGAGATTGAATAATCATTGGGTGATCGACATTATCAATTGTACGAATCGCTCGAGATCGGCTCCGAACTTCGGCCGATCGGACAAGCCCGGGATCCCGATCTCCCCTAAGAATTGATCTTTTGCATCTTTCATCATCTGGGCGAACGCTATATCACTCGCTCACTCGAGCCAATTTGCCGACCTCTCGGGTGTGGCTTCGACATCCAAGCTCGACATATATACAAAGGAGGCCGTCGAGCATGTCATCATCATTGCCCCTTCAACCACTCCGTCCGGGTGGACCGACCACTTTCGAGCGCGACGACCCGCACCCCGAGTCCTCGGCGCCGACCGGACCTCATCTCGATGGAGGATTCGGATGGGTCATCATCTTCTGTCAGTCACATGCCCTTCGTGGATCTCGTCCCTCTACATACTATCGCACGAACTGAATCAACGATGACGACGACGATATCACGACAGGCGCTTTCGTGCTCGCCTTTCAAGGACTCGGGATACTTTACGCCTGGGGGGTCGTACAAGCTCATCTGGCGGAAAAGAAGTTGGCGAGCCCGATCTTGCTCAGCGTGATCGGTGCAACGTCAGCGTTCTGGGTAGCGTTCAGCTGTTTGCCGGTGAGTTTCGATTCAACGTATGGTATGGGACAGGACGACCGACCCGGACCCGAGCCTGAGCTCTGATGTGGACGGCAGATTTCTTGGGCTATCAGGCGATATGGCGATCGGACCGTGGCCTTGGCGGGTGTCGTCTCTGCGACGACGAGCCTCGCCCTCAGTGGATTCGCTACCGATAGCCTAGGCGGCCTGATATTCCTGCAAGGGGTCTGCTATGGTATAAGTAGCGGCATGCTATACCTGGTAAGAGGTGGTGCGAATGGTAACCCCCCACAACGTGGACGGGAGGCCTGACGTCGACCCCTGCCAACAGCCGGCCTATACCATCCCGAGCCAGTATTTCGACAAGAAGCGCGGCTTGGCGACAGGGATAGCATCTTCAGGCGGTGCTCTAGGAGGTGCCTTTTGGTCGCTGGTCAGTCGAGATCGACCTTGCGATCCCCGAACGGGTGTTTCCTTCAGCTCACGACGTGGTGGGGTTTCAGGTTCTAGAAAAACTCATCGCAACCTGGGGGCTCGCTTGGGCATATCGGTTCCTAGCTCTGACGACGCTCGTGATAGGAATGGCGAGTCCAAACGTTTACTTTCGTTTCAGAGGGGAACCTCGGTGTTGATGTCCAACGATTGACAGCCCGCCGCTTACACGCTACGCTCAAGAGCCTTAGCGACCAGGTCGGGGACGGAAACACCTCTTGCAGACGAAAGGGTCGAACGGAGCATCTTCCGGAGTTCCCGTTATATACGGGTTCTCTTCGCATCGTTCGTCGCCAGCTATCCTTTTTTCATCCCGCCCTTTGTGAGTCGAGACCGTGTAAATGTCACAGCGTTTGCGCGGTCACTGATCATTGACTTGCTACTTGCCGCCGACCGTCACCAGTTTATTTCCCAGTATGGTGAGTCGAGTCGGTACATGTCCGGCAAGCAAGGTAGAGGGTGACCATGAAAACCGTCTTGCCACAGCGCGCTCGATCGGACAGACAGCCGCGCAGGGTGCTCTCTATTCGGCCCTGTTCAACATCGCTTCGGGCATCGGTAGGATCGCCTTTGGTGTCGTTGCCGACTTTATGACGGGAGTGAGTCGGTCGCGCTCTGTGCTGTTGACCGCCGTCAGTTCCGGCAAGTCCTGAAACCCCCGCTCCGTCTAGAACCTCAATGCCTGGATTATCAGCGTTCTGCTCATCGTCTTGAGTACTCTCATCGTATGGCCCCGGGCTATGGGAGAAGGTCTTATCATACTGTGAGGACCTCATCGTGACTGTACTCCTCTTTGTCCCGCACCCTTGTTGACAGACATCGCATTCACAGCCTTGTGGCGATGTGTGGAATGGGCTCCGGCGGTTTCTTCTCCCTTCAATCCAGCATTGTCTCTCAAATCCTCGGCAATCACCGCCTCGGCCAGGGGATGGGATGGCTCGAGGTGGCCGAGAGCTTTGGCTACTTTGCAGGTCCTGTTTCGGCGGGAGCACTCTTGCAAGCGTTTGGGGGACCGGGCCAAGGAGCTGCACCGTATCGCCCGGCCATGGTGAGTCGCCGCCAGGTCGGAAACCTCTGGCTAAAGGCACTGATTTATTCGGCTTCAAAAATGCATAAAGTATCTGGTTGGTGGGGCGACAGCAGCCTCTCTACTCGTGATAGTGTCCGTAAGATACAGCACCGCTCGGGATCTTTGGCGAAGGGTGTAGCGGAGGGCATCGGTTCGACCAAGTAGAGGACCCGCGACCAGTTGGCACCACGTGTGATGTAGGACTGGGTCACGAATTCGAAGCTTGGGTCTGTATCATATGTCCAGACGATGTGGCATATTCACTGGAAACTGGCTTGCAAGGTTTCAGAATAGGGGTTAATCGCGCTGATGTGCATTGTTTACAAGATTGCGTTTCAGGTAATTATGATCGGGTTAATTTCTCATGTGTGCCGTTACGGCTTGTCTACCTTAGAAATGGGTCGGATCGTCTACAATCCATGCTGAGACAGCCACTCGAAGACATAAGCGTACGTCTCCGGGGCCGAGTAGTGCAAGTTGATAGCATGTCCCGTGTACCTGCAATCGCGATGCGTATCGGAAACTATCAGCTACAAACCCATCGTAATCGCACATCGCTTGAAGACTCACGCAGGAAGGTACGTCTCGAAACTTCCAGCGTTGGGGTACAATGTCTGGACCTCGGCGGGCAGGTTGGTACCGTTACGGATACACCCCCCGGCACAGTAGACGAGATCATGAGAACCGGTAACTACGAGGACGTCACCGGTAAAGTTGGAAGCGGCCTGAGGAGGTGCGATGGGTCCTCCAAGCGTGACTGTGAATACGAATCAGTTTTTCTAAGTGGACAGCCGAGTGACAATCTTGTAGACCATGCTTGGACTCACGCAGCTCTCCGATGGTCACGGTCTGCCTGGCAGCCTCTCCCTTGACGAACACCTCCTCGTCGTACCCTCCGTTGTAAAAGAACAACTGCCTATCCCCCTGGATTGTCCCGCTCAACAAGTACTCGTTCGAGTAGTTTCCAAACCTGGTCGCATTGACCTCGCTAGCAGGAGAGTAGGTCGAAGCGGAGAGGAACAAAGGTACACCCTGGCCGTTGGTCGAGAATCCAGTGAGGACCACAGCGTCGACGGCGTCGGGGTGCATGGTGGCGAGCCCGTGTGATTGAGCCGAGCCGTAAGAGTGTCCAATGGCAACGACCTGTTCGGCCGGTTGAACCGAGTTGCCGGGGACGAGAGTCCCATTCCTCAGGGCCTCTGCAACGGCGTTGGCGATGGCGACTTCGGTCGCGGTCTGGGTGACGTTGATTCCATTGGGTTTGGACGACTGGGCGACTCCGAGACGGTCGTAGGCAAGCGTAGCGTACCCTGCATTGGCAGCGGCTTGAATGAAGCTGCGAGCAGGGTCGTCTGGTCAGCATCAAAGTATGTCCATGGGGGTCCCAGCAGTGTGCTCACTTGTACTCGGTCCCGTTGGAGGACGTGTTGAAGGACCAGTAGGAGTGGTCAAAGTTGATACCGTGAATCAGCTCGAGCGTGGCGTTCTTGGTAGCACCGCCAGCGGGCTCGCAGTATTGCATCCAGATGTCATCTATGACAGACGATTGCTATTAGCTTTGCATGTTAAACGCTCGCCCAGTTGAGCCAACTCACAAGACCCGGTCGTCTCGTTGCTGCCAACAAGGTATTCTCCCGTAAAGTTGGTGTTGACCGAGACAAAGTCGGTGACGAGGTCCGAAACCGCCTTGGCGCCCGTAGGGATCGGGATGGCCAACAGCGTGTTGTTCGAAGTCAGCTCGAACGTCTTGACGAATGACGTGCAGTTGAGCGCGGTCGCATTGCTCGCGCCGGTGGTCTGGTTGAAACTGGCAGGGAGGCCGGTGGTGTTACTGATTCCCCGCGAGTCCCTGATGTCGAGCAGGGGCGAGGCCAGTGCAGATGACGCGGTGATGGCGAAAGAGAGGGCGAGGGTCGATCGCATGGTTATGGGTTGTTCAGCAGTTGATGTCGAAGACGGCCAGCAAGTGTCATGCCTGACGCTCCTAAACCATGTCAATCGTCTCGACGGCTATATATGTTCTTCACCATCGACATGGTGAACAGCGGGCGGCGACGAGGTTCCGGCGTCATCGACGACGCTGGACCTGTTGGAGCTATCACATCAACCCACATCATCGTGGTCTAGCTGGTCTCCTGCCTCTTGTGGGAATCTGGACGACTTCGCGGTCTGACGTGATCGATTTCAGCAATTGCGCCCGAGATCGATCACCCCGGGGATTGACTTGCAAGCGCACAACGACGGTCAACCTGGATAATCCACCACGACTGACGTCAACCTCTGTCCGTAACATTCTACGTCCCCAGACAAATACGATCCGCGTCCGGGCCGCCCTAACAGTATCGTTGTCCGACGGATGACCTCGAACTATCAACGATGGCGACATCACGCTCCCGATCATGCATTTCTAGTGATCTATTCGATTCCGACTGCGCATACAACGTTCTCTTTCGCGGCTTTTCGCGCGGTAGGATTTCTTGATTGAAGTTATTCTTCTGCTACGCCTTGCCTTGCAAGTTGACGGGGATTTGCGACTCATTTTCTATATCGTCCGAGTCCGGCAGATCCTCTAGTGCATAGCAGCAAGCGCAGATCGCCGCCCGCGTAGCCAATGTCTGTCCCGGTACATCTGGTACGTCTATCGAGATGAGCGACTCGGTCAACAATGTGGGCAAAGAGACGTGATCCTGAGTATAGACGTACATCCAGGTAGGTCCATCCTGTCGGCGAGACAGATGCACTGTGACAAACGTACCGTCGACCCCTAAGGTCCTTGTACGTGCGCAAACTCGACGTCGACAAACTCACCGATGGTAGCTTGATGGCCGCTGGTATGATGAGCATCCGCAGTGCTCCCGTCTTGTCAGACCCCATAATCGGTTCGCCATTGATATCCTCACCGGCGACGGAAAAGTAGATCTGTGTGATTAGCTCGTGCCGAAACCTAACGGGCGTGTGGGTTCTGTCATCGGGTGTGCAACGAAGTCAAAGGTTAACAAGCAGGATCGCATTCATTGCGCCGATAGTACTCACCCCAAGCATGTTGTTGGCCGCATTACCGAATCGTCTGGTAGTCTCTGTCGACCCGACTGCCACCGATACGTCGTCGAGCTGCCTTGATCCACCCTCCACAGAGCTGGAACATCGACAGCTGGATTTGCTCGTTTCGGTATTGTTCCCTCATCCGCTACGAGTCGTTTGATGGTTGGCATCTCGACCGCCTGGGTCGAGTGATCGCCGTGTTTGAAGAAAGCTTCGAGTGATATGGCCGAACATTTTTGCACGAGCAGCGTACGTATCGTATAGATCGTGCATGTCGGTGGTAGATCTTGGAGTTCTACGTCTATTCGCATATAGCCCCCGACCGAGAACTACCGGGAGCTGTGAATTAGTCTCGAACGTTCCACAGAACGACCTGTGCTTTCGACATACCATCTCGCTACGATAGTCCACCCTCCAGCCAAACCCTCCCGAGCCGGCGGTCCGTCCCGTTTTCTCTAGCCGTAACGTCGGCCTACCCATAAATCCCTTGGGAACAGCGTTGATAGGAAAATTCTCGACCAACGTCTTGCAGCCTCGTCGGATCAGCGATGCGCAGGTCTCGTCTCGCGGTTTCGTCTCCCGGGTGTCGTGGTCTACGAGAGCAAAGGCGACGGCGTGAGCTTGCGATCTGGCGAATGGACAGAGGCTCCGTGCGAAATCTAGCAGAACTCACACCTCGGATGTTCGACGTTCCCGGTACCCGTCCATTTCTTCATCACGAGGTCTGGTATATGGGCCAACCCCTCCTCCGGCAGACTCGCATCCTTCCCTCCTCGTTCGCGTTCTTGCGAGGATAGCGGTGGAGTGATGACCGTGGTCGACAACGAGTTGTACGAATACTCTGCCTCGACCCTGATCTGTGGCAAGATTTCTACGCCGGGCAACGCTTCCCAGGTTGCCAAGCTCGACGGTAAGAGCATGTCAAAGGCGATCTTGCATCTAATGTGCGCGTGTCCATCGCTCAAGGTCGTCTCCATCTCGCTCTCCAGGTAGGTTTGGTACTGAGAATAGACGATTCCGTCTTGTGGAACCGCTCTGCCGCCGGCATTCTCTTGTGGGAGTTCGTATTTGCCAATGATGACAATCCCAATTCTCACGCTGTCGAGGTGTAGATACGGCTCGTGCGTGACAAAGACGTTGCCCGAGAACAAGCAGTCGTCGACGGTAATATCGCTGTCGTCCAATTCGTCAACATGGTCCTCGATCGAGTCTTTTGGATGTACGATGATGATGTCGTTGTGCAGTTGGACTTGTATTCGCAGAGGAGACCGTTGTCGCTCGGGCGAGAGGTAGCGTTTGAGTCGGTTCATGGTGGGGTGCCTTCGAGTCGTGCCAAGTCCCTGAGCCTGGTCCGACCGATTCACCCCGTCCAGGATTCTATACGTCTCGAGTGGGAATGCGATCGAACCTTTACGGAATGCTAGTCTGGTGACCTAGTACGGCATAGCTTCGAGGTCGGTGGATCGCAGTTGCTGGCGAACGACTGGCGTCGTCGACTGAGAGGTCATAAATTAAGTCATCTTTGCATCTTTCCGTCACAAGCACAATGAGGTCGTGCAGTTTGCTATCATCAATTTGACGGCAACTTCAGACCGGGTAGACCAGACCGGGTTGCTCAGATCGTCATACCGGGAGGCAAGCAAGACCGGGGTGCCACAGCTGACCGACCATACCGGCGTCACGTGAATTGCTTCCTCGCTTTGGTTCGCGTATCACCTGTTGAGTTCAAAGGCATATGTTTGTCGAGGTGTATAACATTGCTAACTGAGAACATCATCGCAAAGCAAGCCGTCAACACATAACCAAAGATTACGATGCAAATTCCATATGTCGACACCACTCTAGGTAGGGAGCAATACCACCTGAACCCTACAGCCAGCTACAGACCGGGAGGATGGCCACCGGCAATGCAGTGGTTGCAAGTCCTGTTCATGACCAATCCTCCACCGCTCTGCCGACAATGTTGGGAATGGCACCCGGTCAGCGAGAATCAGGCGAGACATGAGCAAGATTGGACGTCGGTTGCGGAAAGACAAGCTCGTGAAACGTGGATCGAGAGCGTGAGTACTGGGCGGCTACTTGTCTCGATCTACGGCTCACATCGTTGTCTCCAGTCTGTCCTTGATAGAGTCACCGATCTTTGCAAACTGGCGGGAACCCTTAGAGGCAAGGGAAAGTTAGACGAGCTCTACCAGAAACCAGCGGGTCATGACCCAGAGTTTACAAATGGCCGAGCGGCCTTCTTCGTACCAGCGATCTACCGGGATGAATCAATCCCCTTTCCCTGGCTCAGCTTGGCCCAGATCAAGGTTCAGTTGACCGAGCGTTCTGGTCCGGCCTTACGAGAGCATCTGGAGGGTTTCGTGAAGACCTGGGAACAACAGCAGGCTGCAAGGTTGAGGTCGGATTTGGCGATGTGAGATGACTGTTGGCAAATCTGCGTGAAACATGGCTGACAATTTGCCCAACCATCGTGCAGTGCTGAACAAAAGCGTGATCAGTGAGTCGACCAACATTCAGGCTGCAAGTCTCTCCCTGATTCTCCGGTTGTCCCGTCAGATACAAGAACGAACTGGACAACCTCAGGATCAGCGAGCAATCGTCTGTCTCCATCAGGCAATACACGAGGGTTGTCGATGATCTTGAGGCTAAGCTTGGCCAGACCAAGCAGTCAAGAGATGACGCCAATTGTGAACTCGCCAATCTGAAGAAACGATACGAGGAGGCCACCAAGAGGCTTCGTGAGGCGGTCGAGAACAACCAGCCTGGTAGGGCTGCAGTCCCGGCTGACCAGCCCCCTCGAGCTGCGGTCCCGGTTGACTCTCGCCGAGCTGGTCAAGCTGCGGTCCCGGTTGACTCTCGCCGAGCTGCGGTCCCGGTCGACTCTTGCCGAGCTGGCCAAGCTGCGGTCCCGGTTGACATTGCCAAGACCCTCAAAGACCGCGACACCGAGCTGGCTGCAGTCAAGAAACAACTCGACAAGACCACCGAGGAGTTTCAATCTGTCATCAAGGAACTGAAACACTCAAAGGAAAGTCTCGAGGCTGAATTGCAATCTGCTCGGGCCGAAATAGAAGAAAAAAGGGAGCGACTGCAGGACGGCTTGAAAATAATAGATGAACTTAATGAAAAGGGTAAGAAAGTCGATGAGCAGGACGCGGCCATGCGCACCCACCTGGAAGCGCGGATCAAGACGTTGACCGATGCCAAGGTCGGGCTTGAGAGGGATCTCCAACGTGCCAAGTCAGAGATCAAACGGCTCACTCCCAATGAGACCCAGCGAAAAGCCGAAGTCGACCGGTACAACAACATGGTGAACCAATCCGCGACCGCCGAGTCCAGGTTGATACAGGTTGAGGAGTATTGCGCAGATATCACCTCTGCCCTGAAAAAACTCGGGATCGATGCATCTACCTCTGCGGCAGCGTCGCATGGCATGCAACTGCTCAAAGATAGGTTAGCAGCAGCCGACCAGTATCGCACGGACCTGGAGTCGACCCTGAAGGAACTCGACATCGACGCGACCAGCGCAGATGCAGCCAAGCTCGGGCTGCGGCAGATGAAGGCCGGTCACATCCAGACTGAGAACTCTCTCAGAGCGACCGAGGCGCAGCTGCAAAAGCTGCTTGAGAAGGATCAGATGACCTTGGCCGAGGCCACACAGGTTGATCCCAAACCCGCTGCACAACCTACATCCCCTGTTGACAACCTCGCCGCTCCCGATTATCAGGATGATCACCACACTCCCGACTCGGTGCTCTATGCCTTGATGGAGATTGCCGATCAGATGCAGCATGGTCCGGCAGCTTACAAGCAGGGGCTCAAACGTCTCACCAAGCTGGCGGACATCGCACCTCTCCATATCATTGACGCTAAAAAGCAGAAGGAGATTGGGCTCGCTGGATTGGAAGGCTATGTCTATGAGACAGCCCAGCGAGAGTCTTACGACGAGGACCCAGATATCTGCCGTTTGATGATCAAGATGGGCCACGCTTTGCGCCTGAGGGACAAGAAAATCCAGATAGAGAAGGATGGAGAGGACGTCGATAGTGATGACCATACCGAGGCCGAAGACGATGACGACGAGGCCATGAACGTCGATGATGACTAGGCGAGAGATTTGATTTTGGTTGTACGCAGAGTGACATGTACCTTTTATGCAGAGACAATCCATACCCTACGTGACAACCAGTCCGTGCGTTTGGTCCGATATGTTAGTGATGACTGGGATAACTCTTGAGGATTACTCGGATCATTTCTGGACGCCTAGTCATCATCACGTCATCATCCAATCACCTTTGTTATGAAAATCTCGGACAACTAGATCATCAATACACATTTACACACACATACACACACACACACACACACACACACACACACACACACTACTTGACTATCAAGAAGCAATATCTTGGGGTCTAACAACAACGAGTCCATGTATATGGTTGGGTTGGCAGGTATCGGTGATGACTCATGCTTGACGTGCGATATGCTCATGGTCATGAGGTGAGACGCGTCGCGGACCACACATCGACCTCGAGGTCACCTCGAGGTTTACACCTTCATCGATATCAACAGCCGTCAACACACAATCGACCATTACACACAGTCTGTCTTTGATTACCCATGGCGTATTGACTTCTTGGATACTCGGCGCAAGCCTTGTTGACTCGAGGTTGGTGTGACCAGCATCTTCGACCATCTCCGATCAGGCTCTTCGACGAATCTCTTCGACCAGGCTTTCCAACAACCGGTATGCTTGCCAAAACACTTCGTCATTTGCTCACCGGACCGGCCGACAACATCACCAAATCAGGACCCGGTCTCTACTTGCTTTGTGATACTCGTCAGTGACCTGCAGTGAGCATGTTATGGCTCTCTGCGGGTCACCGTACTTGTTGATCACTGCAAGGAGAGAAACACCAGCGCCGACAAACTCGCCAACCCAAACCTCCAAGCCAACCGTTCGTTCGAGCTCTGTAATACTCGGCAGCTACCTGCATCGAGGACGGTGATGTGCTTGGGCAGGTAGCCGTCTTGTTGCTCACCGCTCGATCGGATGTGAGTCATCATCATCGACCTCGCCAATCGACCTTTCAACCGCAGTATCGACCTTGGCACACTGACCTCAACATCAACCGCACCCTTCCGAGCTCGATGATACTCGCCGGTGTCTTACATCCAGGATGTCAAAGTCTTTGGTGGGTCTCTGTGCTTGTTGAATCTTGCTCGGTCGGGTCTGCCAACACCAGGACGACAAACCTCGACCCGCCGACATCAACATCAATCCTGCCCTTTCAAGCTCGACGATACTCGCCGGTCTCTCGGTGGGTTGCCGTGCTTGTTGAATCTTGCTTGATCGGGTCAGCCAGCATCGACAGCCAGTAGGAGTAGGACCATCCGACATTTCTGAGAGGGATGAGTGTTGAGCGGGCGAGGTGGATGACGGTGTGTGGGTGGTCTGACTATCTCCAGCAAGGGTTAGGGGGATCCACATCTTGGTGAGCTCGACATTGGTGAAATCACTTGATCAGAGCAAACTTTTTGACTTGCGTTTCTGTCCAGACTTGCAGTGACATCTTTCAACCGGCACACCTCGAGGATCTAGCATCATTGACGAGGTATTGAGTGGACTGATCTTGCACGACTCGATCCTGCTGACCTGTTCACTGTTCACATGCCCGTCCAGCAAGAAGACCGTCTCATAGGATATCGGTGTTGAGTAGACTGCCCTTGTCTGCATCTCTGTCGCTGATGCCATAGTTACCCCTAAACGTCCACCTCCCCCACACTTCACCGTCGATTCCTGTTCATAGCCTCAACCCGCCCTCTTTTACCAAGGATACACGTCCTCTACCTCGTCACAATCCGCCTCTGGCAGTTATGGTGTTGCATCTGTCTGAGTGAAGCCTCGACAGACCACAGACTGTGTCAACAGAGGGTCGGAAGTGGCGAGGATAAGACGAGATCCGGAGGTGCGCTGGTCTCAAGATTCGAGACAATGTCTCTACAACACATACCGCCACAGACCCCGGTCTCGGTGTGCTAAACTTCAAGACCCTCGGTCTTTGTAACAAACCCCGACTTCGGTCTACCATAACACTAGGCTTCGGTCTACAGGCCTTGGCCTTGCCAACTCGAGACCACGGTCTTGCCACAAAAGACTACGCGTCTTGGTCACTCCTTGCGGGACTTTTTGTCCTTGCACAGCCTTCTTCACCCTCCTCCTTCTCATTCCCGTCTCACCCGTCTCCCTCTTTCCCGTCCCATTCTCCAGACATCAGAGTTTCATGCTTACCGCGAGCTTTTCCTACCGCATACACCGTTACCGGAGGGACGTGCTCCAGTATAACTGGTAAGTCTGTCGTTACAGATTGCTGAGATTTTTGTGCGCCTTGGCTGACGCCAGCTTGTACCCCTGCAGTCACCTCCAACCGCCATCGTCTGACTGAGGATTGCAGCACGTCTGACCGTTCCTTTGTGAGTTTGAATCTGTCCTAATAGTATGCCCTCATGCCCCGCTATAGCAGCGCACGTATTTCGTTAGGGACAGTTGTCTCGCGAGACACAGCGAGACAAGCTTTGCGCAGGGGGTCTGCGCAAGGGTACGCGCGACACACAAAGTAAACAGAGACAACGAGACAACGAGACCGCGAGACAAACAAAGTAAACAGAGACATGAAGCGAGACACACAAAATAGACAGAGACACGAAGCGAGACAGACAAAGTAAACAGAGACAACACATTCGTCATCTAGTTCTGCTTCTCACGCGATGCTTGTACACTGCACGTGATTCATTAAACACGTCTTGAGCAGTCGCGTCAAGCATCCTGCCACCTATGACGTGGACCGCAGGCTCGTATTGCCTGGTCAGGTCGAGAAGAGCATATCCTTTCTTTGCTTTGTTACGATCTATATAGTATAGCCTGTGCATACATCGCACCAAACGCGGACATCAAGATGTAGTCGGTGAGTCTACACACAAATCAGTCTACCTTTACCTTACTTGCTTACACTTTCTCGTGATCACTCACTCCACCGCACCATGTCTACTGCCCCCCATATCATCACTACCTATGGTCAGGCCACGTGCTCGCTCTGCCGGGCCATCGCGTTCAAGGACAGTGCCGATGCTGTCAAGCATCTTCGTGTGCAGCATCAGACTAGTCCGGTCACGTACAATAGTATGTTGCCAGCCTGAATGATCACCTCGTTTGTCACTGACCCGGCATTGGTCATCCTTGCAGAGCTTACGTTCGACCGGGAGGTTCCAGGAGATGCGACCAGTCCTTACTATTGCGGATGCGGCTTTGATGGTACTATATTGACCAAAGCCTTCCGTAACCACTTGCGGTTCTGTGACGTCGTCCGTGCCAAAGTCAAGGCTCAGAATGGCTTGTCGGGCTTGATTGCGAGTGAGTCGAGATAGAGAATAGAGTCTTAGGGGTTATTGCGACTTGATTCTGACGCGTTGACTCTTTATTTCCCAGGTCCTCTCAGTGCAGATAGCTTGCGAGCGTGTAAGTGATCATGGAATCGAAGTTGGTGAGCACGTCACTGATTGTCTACTATGCAGTCCCGGCTTCGACAGAGACGCCTGATGCTCGAGCGAGACAGGTTGAGCCCACCATCGCGGCCCGGCAGAAACGCGCCCGGGAAGATATCCAGAGGATCAGTTTCTCGTCTCCCCTGTCTACCTTGTCTCCCACCCCCAAACGGCAGAGACTTTCGTCTCCACGATCATCAGCACCTAGGGACAAGGATGATGGCTCTGAACGGGACGAGGATGGCAGCTCCAACCGGGACGATAGTGCACCAAATGGTCAGAAGGCTTCTGGTCAGGATGATTCAGATGAAGACGCCGGCGACTACGAGGTGGAAGAGATCGATGATGAGAGAGACGCTGCTGAGCAAGGTGATGATGATGCATCCGACGAGGAAGAGGATGATAACGATGACAATGACGATGACGATGACTTGTCAATGACCCAGACGGTGGGTTCTGGATATGCAACAGGCAGATTCACAGTCACTGACATTTGTGTGTTTACAAACTGCAGTCGTCACCGGTCAAGGTCTCGGCCAAGACTACTGGCTTGGCAAAGCTTCGTGCTCAGCGAGAGCGTCTTCAACAGAGACGAACTCGACCTCAACCTCGACGGACGGTGGTCTCGTCTGCATCAGCGACACCAACCCCAGAGTGGTCTGTCTCACCTCAGGTTCAGCCACGCCGACTTGTCGACCAATTCATTGACAACGAGGCCGTGCTCAGTGGAGAAGGGTCTGATGACAATGGGGAAGCTGGTTACCCAGAAGAGGACCGTTACGATGAGAACGACTCCTTTATCGATGACAGCCGGAGTGACGAAGAGGATTTGGAAGACGAGTCAAGCAATGAGTTTGAGAACGAGACGAACGAGAAGGTCATACAATCTTTCATTAGGGACGGCTCAGCATCCAAGCCTGCTGTGATCGAGGAGTTGATCCTTGATCCTTCCATATCGAGTAGTCCGATTCGTCAAGCGTCCATACGGAACAAGACTGGGATCGATGCCGAAGAGCAGGCTGAGCTTGTTAGACTGGCAACATTCAAGGACGACAAGAATGCTGGCGAGCCTGAATTGCCGTACTTGGAGCTGACCGGGGACTGGCACAGTAAGCCGAGATGCCTCTGCGGTTAATCTATGGATACTAACTGAATGATGGGTGCTGTGTAGCTCGTCACCCCTTTGATCAGGCCAGCCTTGCATACAACTCGGAGCTTGGCATCCTATACTGCCGATCGCATGACCTTGCCATTCCCATCTCGGCTGAGCTAGAAGAGAGCAAGAAGCTCATCGGGAACCACTTCCGCAACTCGCATCAATTGTCGGTTGATACTCAGTTGCGGGATGAGATATATGACGAGCTAGTCAACCTTCATCCGGCAATCGACTGGATGGCCCGTAACAGTTATATGGCAGCAACTTGGAATGCTCCGATGTCAGCGATTGAGCTTCTGCCTTGCTTGCCTGCTTGGGCGTGCGGAGCATGTGGAAAGATCCGGACAAACTACCGGAGGATGGTTACGCATGTGCACGAGCATGGCGACAGGAATGCAAAGCCGGTGCAAGTCACGGTTCAGACCATCGGATCCCTCCGCAAGAGCAATGAAGGTCGTCACCGTCTTGTTCCGGTACGCGATCCTATCAAGCCAAGGGTTGCAACCAACCAAGACGGACACGCTGGAGGGGATGTATCAGGTGCTCTCGACCAGGTCTACAACCTGATGAACGATATTGAGCCAGATCTGGTCATCACCGGACAAGGTGCGCGACATCTCTCTGAATTCCACCGGAGCGTGGATTGGGCAGATGTCATGGAGACGGTGGGACTACCATACCTCGCCAATCTTGGGAGGCGAGACGTACTTCCGACCGATCCCGTCTGGATGCAAGTCGTCCACAAGATTGCTCCCAAGGTATTTGAGCAGATGTACCGCTCGCTGCACAAGTACAAGTATCACCCTTTCCGCTCGGACTTGCAACGGTGAGTCATGCATCATTCTGGGATTATGTACGAGCAAAGTATCTTATGTCTTTCCGATTCCCGAATCAGTGACACTGCAACCAACACGGCACGAGACCGGTTCCGACCTCTTCAAGAGTCCGTTCCCAAATATGCCCGTGGAATGCAACGTCTTCTCGTTGTCACGTTGCGATGGGCAAATGAACGGTTCAGCAATGTCGGTATGGTTGATGATGCACCCTACCCTACCATTGCCCAGACCCATCAACGGCTGGTTGAGTTTGCCAACTGGCAACTTGACGGTGGCATGGAGGATGAGGATACGTCCCTGGAGGATCATCTGCAAGGATGGTTAGAGGCGCTCTTCACGACAGAGTACCGCATCAACGATGAGCAACAGGATCCTGTCTTCTGGTTCCTCATGGCAGTTACGACTCAGCCTCTTGACGTCAGGCAACTCCAGAACACCAGAGACGTTGCCGATCTGGCTGATGAGGAAGTCATGTTGCAAGACACGTGCCGCGCTGAAGCAGAGGGTCGCGATGACGATGAAGAGACTGGCTTGCCTGGTGACGATCAGACCGGAATCGATGACGAGGATCGTCTGGATATCTTGCGAGCGCACTCTGGTCGGATGATTTTGCCAGCTCACATGTTCTCCGGTCTATATGCTCAAGTGCAATACACTTGCCGGCTGACCTTGTGGAACATGGCCGTTCACATCATGCAGCGGAGTGACGAGGAGAGGATTTCTGGTGAGGCCACTATTGACGATCTCAAGTCATGCTGCACTGAGACGGTCGAGGGATTCTCCTATCGTCGGATCCGGCTGGCATTGGGACATGCGCTCCGAGCTATCATGGACCTGCCACCTCGTGTCACTTGGGGAATACACGCTGGCACTCCGTTTCTCTCGGTGAACAATACTGTCGTCAACCGAGAGATCTTGTCCGAGGCATTCCATCATATCGTCACCCGAGCGGAGCACGAGTTGGCAGAGCATCTGTGTTGGGGGATGCGACTCAGTGTTGAGATGCCGAAACTTGTCAAGGACGACATGAGAAGCACGGTCACAGGGTATTCGTTTATCAATGACCCTGCAAATGGTATCGCCTCGCAAGGAAGGGCCTTGCCGGAGGCGATAAGCAAGAATGCTCATCTTCAAGCACGCTTGCTCATCAACTCGACAACGTGGAATCAGAGCGAGATACGCAAGGTTCTCAAAGCCGATCATCAGTTCTTGGGGCTGTTGTTCACCTGTCTTCACCTGACGAGTGGTCTTCCGGCAAGAGCGGCCGAGTACAACACTCTCCGACTGGTCAACTTGGGCGACACCCCACGCAGCATCTATCATGACCCGTATCAGCTGTTCTTGTTGTTCCGGTACACCAAGA